TATAAAGAAATATTGGTGGGGGTGTGTGTTTAACTTAGGGAGAAAATGTGGCTCAGAGAGGTTAAATGACTGAGTACCTTATCTAGACTTTCTGGATTTGAATTCTAGCTTGGCCATCTACGAGTCCTGTGTCTTTGGGCAAATTACTATTTTCTTATTTATGAAATGGGGACAGTAATAATGCTCCAATCTCCTCCTCATTATTGTGAGGATCAAATAAGTTAATAATTTTAAAGCACTTGCAGCAGGGTCCTGGCATAAGGTAAGTGCTATATTATTCGTGGCTATTCATATTTTTATTAGGAATAATAGTAGTGGGTATAGAACTAGAAGCCCAAACTTCAAGAGTTTTCTGGGTTTAATCTCTTCCCAAGTTTTGTGCTTCCAAATTGGGGTTCCTTACACTACATGTGCTATATTCATGTTGTTGAATACGGAAGTCATTAGGCACAGGTAGCTATTTATATTTTTAAAAATATTAAATAAGTTAAAAATTTGGCTTTCTCACAGTAGCCACAATTCAAGTGCAAGAGCCACCTGTGGCTAATGGCTACTGTATTGGATAGCACAGATGTAGAAAAATCCTATCACTACAGAAAGTTCTATTGGATGATGCCATACTAAATAGATATCAATGACATTTCTGAATTCCAAACAAATCACTTTTTTTTTTTTTTGGCTGAGAGCAGGGAACTAACTTTTTCTCCATATAAGGGAGTACTAAAATCTACTTTTCCTAAAGAAAAATCAGGATCAACATACTAATTGGAGTCAAACGACATGGAGTGACCATTTGTGGTGAATCAGACATGGATGGATTATCCAGAGACAGAACCCTCCTTTCTGGAACTAGCCCTCTAGAACTACCTTGACTTTTACGCAGAAGAACATTGGCTCTTGTGGGGAAAAAAAGAGTCAAATATTTGTAAACACACCTACCAGAAACTACAAAATTTGATGGCAAAAAAATGTAGCTGACAATTCTTTTTTTTTTTTTTTTTGAGATAATTTCTCACTGTGTTGCCCGGGCTAGAGTGCCGTGGCGTCATCCTAGCTCACAGCAACCTCAAACTCCTGGGCTCAAGCGATCCTCCTGCCTCAGCCTCCGAGTGGCTGGGACTACAGGCATGCGCCAGCATGCCCAGCTAATTTTTTTTCTATATATTTTTAGTTGTCCAATTAATTTCTTTCTAATTTTAGTAGAGATGGGGTCTCGCTCTTGCTCAGGCTGGTCTCGAACTCCTGAGCTCAAACAATCCGCCCGCCTCGGCCTCCCAGAGAGCTAGGATTACAGGTGTGAGCCACTGCGCCCGGCCTAGCTGACAATTCTTAATCACATAGTCTGGGTGCTAAATGTTTTACAAGCATGAGCTCATCATCAATCTGCACAATAAATATATGAAGTAGAGGGTCATTATTATATCCCAGGGTTACAGTGGGGAACCTGAAGCTTTGATAGGTTTGCTGGAGGTCTCGAGACTAATACGTGCAAAAGCTGAGACTCCAAAGAAGTTCTGTTTGATGCCAAAGACTGGGCTCATAATCGTGACTACTATATGCCTTTAACTGGGAGAAACAACAATGCTGGTTGGACCAAGTGTGGATTTGATCCCCCCACTGGTGTCCATTCAACCTCATGCTAAATAATGACCATGAAGACAGGCTTTATTCCTGAAAGCTATCTCTTGGAGAATGGAGAACCAGGAAAGAATATGGAATAGATTGGTCGAAGCCAACTCTCAGTGTGCAAAACGTAATTCCACTCGTAAATGGGTCAAGAGGGTGATTCCAAATAAAAGAACAATACTAGATACCTGGGGAAAAACAGTCTCTTCTTCTCCAGATAATCATTCAGCCCCTTCTGGATGTCCTCCAACAGAAGGTTGGCTTCTTGAAGCTTCTCAGTCATCCGTGGCTGGTCTGCTGCTACCAGAACCCTGCTGTCTTTCACCTGGGTTCCATCAAAAAAGGTGAACATCATCATGGGCATTGACCAAGTTCTGAGATTGGTCATTGTAATGAATGTGTAACCAGGCTATCAACTAACAGTGCCTCCTGCCCAGCTAACTGTATGCTAATCCCCCTCCTAACTTTTGACATTAGAAAAAGATAAGAAAAAATATTGAATTTGCAAAAATCAAGTTCATTTATAAGTTTCCAGGAATGTGACTCAAATGAACAATGAGGAAATCTTTGTATGGCATTCCACATTCCTGCTGGTGATACTTACTAGGGGATAAAAACTTACCGCTTGGGACATGAGTGATTTCCAGTAACCATCAACAATGGCAAATTTCCTGCCCTCTTCTGGCATCTGGGCTATGATGTCCTCTGAACTAAAAATCGGTTCCAGGTATAGCCAGGTGGCTTGGCACTTCAACCAGGCATCCAAATTTTCCTGCACTCGAACCAGCTTTTCTTCCCATTTCTGTGAATTCAGCATTTCAAATCTGAATCACTAACCTGCCACTCTGCAGCACAGGCCCATGGACTAACCAAATGGATGGATTTATTCATTTATTCATTCATTCCCTTGTTTAATCAAATACTTATTGAGTGCCCCCTGTGTTCTGGTCACTGTTCCAGGCAATCAGGCTACAGCAATGAATGAAACAAATGAGAGTCCTTGTCTTGGTGGAGCTCACATTCTAGTGGAGTAACAATAGGTATAACATTTATTCTGTGACAAGTAGATGGTCTGAGTGCTTTATGTATATAAAACCAATTTAATCCAACAGTCTTGTGAGGTAGATATTATTAGAAATCTCACTTTACAGATGCAGAAATGGAGACATAACAGTTCAAGTAACTTGTCCATGGTCACACAACTAATAAAGGGGTTGTGCTAGGATTTGGACCCAGGAAGTCTGGCTCCAGAGACTGTTCCCTTAGCTTATGCCACCTCTATAAACAGTGAGCATAGGAGGCCAAACCCTTACCCTCAGGTGGTTTGCAGTTTAGATTACTACAGCTCATAAGATACTTTCCAAATGTATGCTTATTTGGTGCATTCAAATCTCCTCTTTTGGCAGACAGTTTGCAAAGGCTCAGCATGCCATATGCTTACTTGGATGGTCATTGCTTTCAGTCTTGTGTTATTTTTTTTTCCAATTGGGAGAAAGTGAGTTTCTTTGTTAACTGAACTTGGAAACCTTCCCCCTCCTCTGAGGAACCCAGAGCTAATGGGACATCACAAAACATTCAACCTCATTTCCTCTTACCCTGCATTCTGCTTCTATTGGTTTGATGAACGTGGAGCCACACATGGTCTGGGTCTTTATCACGTGATCATCGAGTAGCAGTTGAATGTCATCAACGGCACACAAGATGCTCGTATCCTGCAAATAAAGATGCCCCATCCTGTCAAAATCCTCATACACATCTCTCCCCACCCTCATTTTTCATGCTGATCCCAAGGGCCTCCTAGCTCAGAACTCCACTCCAGTGGGACAGGAATCTATGTCTTGCAGGGGATGGCATTTCTATTTTCTTCCTTGAAAATGTTCTTAAAGACACTTACTGTCCACCTCCCTTGCAGAAATCAAATACAGTGTAAGCCCAGACCCGCAGTTAGCATCTGTTGGGGAGGAAGACTCTGCCCACTTCTCTGTGTTCCTGCTTCTCTGTCCACCTGCTTTCCGAGCTCTCCTCTCCCTCGGGTGGGAGGATCAGCTGCTAACCTGATTGTTTACACCTAGATCCTCAGTTTCCAAACCATGCACTGACATGTCCCAGGGCATGGCAGCCAACTCAGAATAAATAATTGTAGTTATTTAAAAATAAAATACCAATATTGCTTTTTATTTCAATTTATATGTATTATTTTTTTCAAATATCTATGAAATTGATAGGACATAAATACTTATTAAGTTGTTTGGACCTAATTAGTTCACAAACAAAGCTATTAGGTATTTCTTTTGGCCTAGGGTCACCATGAAAAAAGTACTTAGACATCAAAGGTGCTCTGAGCCAAGGAAGTTTGGGGACTTCTGTTCTATATATTTACTGGGTCACATTTCACTAGTAAGTAAGGTTTAAGGTGTGCCTTAAAGATCAGCCCCTGTGGGTGGCACTTTTCCTCCTGGGCTACTGTGGCAAGTCAGCTGATACGGGTTTGGCCCCCTGCAGCAGATTTGGTCTTTTCTGCTCTGTTTTCACTTCTTTGAAGCCTAATTTGGGTGGCTAAACTGGGCCTAGAATATACTCTCTCATCTACCTTTTACCAGTAGCCCTGCACTGGGAGGTGTGTCCAGCTATTAATAAAGTAGTGTCTTAAATTCCACTTTTTGCTGATCCTTGTCAATAGCTATTTCAGTCAAAAACTGCATATCAGCCAGATATAAGTGAGCCACCCAGGTCCCCTAGCTTAACTCCTCATGTCAGAACAACGGTGTCTATTCTAGCAGCATCTAATCCCATCAGATCATGCAGCATTGAGTTTCTGGGAGCCATGGTGGCCTGGTCTTGCTGGGAAAGGCCCAGTAATGAGCTCCTGTGCTCCCGAGTCTCTCATTGGCTCATGTGTAGGTCTGTTGGGGCTCAGAACATGATACCCCAAAGTATGGCACCTTGGTGTGCTGAGTGCTTTGAACTGAAGGACCCTGGAAGGCAATGTCAGAAGCAAGATCTTTCTATCTTCTCCCATCTGCCTTTTCCTGCTCCCCTTTCTTCTCTAAGGCAGGCCATGGACACTAGAATTCCTCTTCCCCAAAGCCAGCCATAAACCTAGAAATATCACTTTAATCTTCCTCCCATTTCTGGGTAAGAAATGGCCATAAAGAAATTCTCTGGCCTACCTTGTCTGATTCCAGGTCATAAGACCCCTGTTCCAGAGGGGTCTGACCTCATACCTAGGAGGAAGGGATGCTACACAGAAAGGCCAAGAAGAATCTGAACAGAGAGGCCTTGCTGTGTTTTCCCCCGAGTCTGTTACCACTAGATCATACCCTTCTGTCCAATCACATTTCTATACACCTGGCCATTCCTCATCAAACCTAAGCATAAAATAGGAAGTTTTCCTGAAGTCTTCAGGTCTTCATTTCTGAAGCTCCTTTGTCATGTTAGATGTTGATTAAATAAATTTGTTATGATTTTCTCTTATTCATCTGTCTTTTGTTATAAGAGTGCCAGCCCTGAGTGACTCTCATGATGGGCGAGGAAAGGCTCAGACCTTTTCACCCCTACAGTTCTTAGCCAGGTGAAATCAAGGCATTGTAGCTATTGCAACCAAAGGGGGAAAGAAGTTCCAAGAGAATAGCATGGAGCCTGGGGGAGGAGGAAGGTATGGGAGCCTTTGCTTCTCAATCCATGTTGTACACTAGAAAAACCAGGGGTGCCTTACAAATACAGATGCCTAAGCACTCTGGGGGTGCAGGAAACAGAAAAACTCAATGGGGATTGTTTAAAGCATCCCAAATGATTCTACTGTGTAGCCAGCATTGGAAGCACTGCTTTAAGAGCCAAAGGTCTGCAGCATGTGAGTATTGGCCTATTACCTCCATGATTTACAAGTCACCCAGAGCAGCGACCCCCATCTATGCCCCATGCCCCAATCCAACTGCAAGCTAGACCCAAGAGACAGCTGAGCAAATGCTTCAGGTTTACACACCTCCACATGTACTGCACAAATTCATGTGTTCTCTACAAGCACCAATGAAAAGAAAGGAATCTCCACCCTTGCTATTCTAATTATGGTCCATATTATCTGGGAGCTTGTTAGAACTGCGGAACCTCAGGCCCCAGCCCAGACCTGCTAAATCAGAACCTGCTCTTTAACAAGATCTCCAGGTGACTCCTGCACATATTAATATTTGAGAAGTTCTGAGTTTTGTCCCTGAGGGCCCTGGGGAGCTTTGGAAATGTACATAGACCTGTGTCCTCCCTGGGAGATGCTCATTTAGGAGGTTTGCTCATTTTTTTTTGCATTGACAAAACTTCTTGCTCTGAATCAAAAGGCCTTTCTGATTTGAAAAAGCATCCCTGAAGTGGAGAGGAAGGATGAGTGGCACAGGAAACAAGATGTTAGGGGTTAATCCCCTGTGAGTTCTGTCGCAATTCTGAAAGAATCACCTCTGTAAGCTACTACATAGCAATTGGGGCTGCTTTGGGGTGGGGTAGGGGGGCTGCAGTTGGATTGAGACTCACAGTGTCCCTGTATTTCACGAAGCTGAATGTCATGTTAACCCAGTCTAACTTCATTTTCTCCATGTTTTTCTCCAGGGAATATTCTTTGCTGGCAGCTGCACCAATGGGCTCCAGTCTAAAGAGAGAACATAGCAACAGTAACGGTAACAGGAGGTGGCAGAGAAAACACATCAAAGGAGGAATTTCAGCTCAGTCTTACGAGAATTTCAAAAAGCCCTTAATTTTACCAAAATGTTTACTATCCTAACTCTAAGATTTGCCAGCTACCTCCGATGCTTTGTGGAGTTTTTCACCCTCAGCACTGTTGACTTTTTGGGCTGTGTTATGGGTTGAATATTGTCCACTCCACAAATTCATATGTTGAAGCTCTAACCCTCAGTACCTCAGAATGTGACTCGAGTTGGAGAAAGGACCTTTATGGAGGTAATTAAGTTAAATGAGGTCATGAGGGCCCTAATCCAATATGACTGGTGTCCTTAGAGGAAGAAGAGGTTAGGACTCAGACATACAGGGAGGAGATGGCTGTCCGCAAGCCGAGGAGAGAGGCCTCAGAAGAAACCAACCCTACCAACAACTTGGTCTTGAACTTCAAGCCTCCAGAATTGTAAGAAAATAAATTTCTGTTGTGTAAGCCAGTCTGTGGTACTTTGTAATAGCAGCCTGTTAAATAAAAATTATGGGAGGTCATCGTTTTGGATCGAGCTCCTGCCCTAGGTCCCAACGGACCAGACCAAACCCAAACAGAGTCACTCACAGTAAATATTCATAATCAAAGTGAAACTTTAAGGAAGCAGATAGATCCTGAAACAGAGCAGTGTTTCCTGAAAACAGGAGATTCCAGTCTACCTGAATCAGCAAATAAGGAAGTCTCCTCTGCTTTAACCCTTACAAAAAAGCAACCTGATGTTAACCAATCATGTTTTCCCCCCTATTGTTCTGTTTCCTGGTTCCCACCTTACAAAACCCAGTGTTCTGCTATTGCCCAGTGGGAGCTCTCATTCTATTTTGTAGAACAGAGGCTGCCCTGATTCATGAATCACAAATGAAAGCCAATTAGAACTATAACTAAATTTGTTGCAATTTTGTCTTTTGACAAGTCCTAGCAAACTAACATATGCTGGATAATTCTTTGTCATGGGTGCTCTCGTGTGCACTGTAGGATGTTTAGTAGCTTCACTGGCCTCTACCTACTATATGCCAGTAGCAGATTCCCCAAGCCCATCCCCACCCTTTGCCAGTTGTGACAATCAAAACTGTCTCTGGATGTCACCAAGTGTCCCCTAGGGGTGGAAAATTGCCCCCAGTTGAGAACCATTGTCTTAAGATCACTGAAATAAGACCTCTTCTTTCTATCTTTGTTTACTCCTTATTTGCCCACATTCTGATTTCTTATTCAGATTTTGAACTTCTGTTCATTTATGTGACGGCTTTTGCTCCACTTCCCAACTCTCCCCTTTTCATAAACACCTGTTATTTTCCTGATACTGGGTCTACCCATCTACAGCCCCTCTGTTCTGTAGAAAGGGACGTAAAAGGAGAGAAGAGAAAGACAACTCCCTTTCTTCTTGTTTCCACATGGACATCTGGGTCCTAAAACCCAGGTGTGGCCAAAGAATTGGAAAGCAAAGTTCTAGGAAGCGGAAACGGGGATGATTCTCTCTGCCCCAGCCCTGTCTTTCATCGCATCCTAGACCGTAGAAGAAACCATCTGGTCTTTACTCAGCTCTGGAAACTGAAGCTCAGAGGAAGCAAGTGACGTGTCCAAAGCCACACAGCTGGGGGGTGCCAGGACTGGGTCTAGACACCAATTCCTCCTAATCTGACTCCTAATCTGGTGTTTCTTCCTCCCCTGTGAGACGCCTTCTCCTCTCTTTTTATCAGAAGGAACAATAAACCTGTTCACATGTGGTCACTCAATAGGACCAACTGAAGAGAGCCGAGAACCCTCATTTAGCTTCATGAAGGGAGGGAGACTAGGCACAAACTGTTCCAGACAATGACTGACCGAGGCCTCAGCAGCGTGGCCATCATCTTAAATGTGGCCTCTGAGAGATGACCAAAAGGAGCATGCACACAGGGAATAAGTACTAAAGGCAAGTGCCAACCCAGGTGAGTACGAGACGAGGAGTCGTAAAGTCTTGCCCGCAGTGCTTGCTGGCTGTATGGCCATGGCCAAATCACTCGACAAGTCTCAGGTCCCCACGTGCCCATGCCACAGGGTTTCTGGTGTAAATTAAATAAGACCAAATGCTTGCTCCGTGCCTTATGAACTACCCTAGGGTGTGAATTAAAATGCAAATGGTTGCACAGGGGAGGGATTAACCAGTTTGGGAATGCATGAAGTATATCAAGAGTTGACTTCACCCAGATGTGCTAGAGAAGTTCATTAATTATGGGCTGTGATAAAGCTGCCTTGACTAAGGTGTGAGTGGGATACGGGGAACATCACACCTCACTAATAGGTAGTGGCTAAGTGCCTAGACATGAAATCGGTTGAGTTTGCCTGCCTTATCTCATAATCCTCACAATAACTCTGATCGCCTAGCTACTTCCCATTTTACAGATAAGAAGACCAAGGCACACAGAGGTAAACAACTTGGCCAAGGTGTCCTCACTTCTGGATTTGTCACAGTTGAGTGTACTCGTTGGAAAGTGGCAGAGTAGTTGTCTATTTATTTGCTCAATCTCTATCTCCTGAGATGAGTTTCCTTTTTAGGCAATAAAGGGTAAGATTAAGGCCCGCCTTAATCTTGGTCCTTTCAGAAGTTAAATGTTGGTTCTTTCAGTTACCAGTCGTGACCAATGGTTGGTCACTTAGCCTTTCTAATCCGCAGTTTATTTCCTCATCTGTAAAATGAGAATAATTTTAGCTAGAACACTAGGCTGTTGTGATGGTTAAATCTGTTAATGTATATAAAATACTTGGCGTAGCATAAGCGTTCAATAGCTAGTATCTCTTGGAAACACTTTATTGGGGGAAAATAAGGCCCTTTAACAAAATAGCCTAAGCCTGGTAGACAAGTATAAGTCTCTAGGCCTGCTCCTTAACAAGGGACAGTAATGGTGGTATCATTGGGGAGGGAGGGTCAGTGTATTCAGGTGGTAGAGAGATTTCTGGGAAGTGCCTTACATTAGACCTGCTCTGCCGCAGTGTGGAGGAGGGGTTCTCAGACTCTCATGCATCAGAGTCACCTGGAGCAGCACTATTGTCTATTAGAAATACAATGTGAGCCATACATATGATTTTACAGTTTCTATTTTTTTAAACTTTCTATTCTTTTTTATTTTAAAAGAAATAAAAAGGATGGGCATGGTGGCTCACTCTCACGCCTGTAATCCCAGCACTTTGGGAGGCCAAGGCAGGAGGATGGCTTGAGCCTAGGAGTTTGAGACCAGCTTGGGCTACAAAGGAGGACCCTGTCTACAAAAAAATTAAAAAATTTGCCGGGCATGGTGGTGCACCTGTAGTCCCAGCTACTCAGGAGGATGAGTGGGGAGGATCACTTGAGCCCGGGAGTTGGAGGCTGCAGTGAGCTATGATCATGCCACTGCACTCCAGCCTGGGCAACAGAGCAAGACTCTGTCAAGAAAGGGAGGGAAGGAAGGAAGGAAGGAAGGAAAAGAAAAGAAAGAGAGAGAGACAAAGAGAAAGAGAGAGACAAAGAAAGAAAGAAAAGAAAGAGAGAAAGAAAGAAAGAAAAGAAACAGAGAGAGAGAGAAAGAAAAGAAGAAAGAAAGAAAGAAAAACAAGTGAAACAATTTCAATAATTTATTTTAACTCAATATATCCAAAATATGATTTCAACATTAATCATATTAAAAATTATTGGATATTTTGTATTCCTTTGTTTCTTAATAAGTTTTCGAAATCTAGCCTGGATTTTATACTTAGAGCACACCTAATTCAGACCAGCTACATTGCGAGAGCTCAGTAGCCACATGTGGCCAGTGGCTCCCACACTGCATAGCGCTGACCTGGAGCATTTGTTAAAATGCAAATTGCAGGGCTCACCCCCATCATTAGCTCTGTAGCTGAAAACGGAAGCTTCATCAGTAGCTAGACAGCTGAAGTGGAGGTTATTAAATAGTCTTAAGTCACCCTAAGCCAGAAGGAAAAAACAAACGGCCTGATATGAGCTCAGTCATATCATTGTGGTAACTCACAGATCCTTTGACCAAAAAATTTACTGAAGGAAGGGATAAGCCTTACTTCTCAATGAATTTGCTGAATCCAAATTCTAGCATATTTGAAAGGCAAGTCGTTTCGGTGGGCTTTATTTCATAGCCGACAATCTCACTGATCTGCAAAGAAAAGAGGAAAACAAGTGTTTATTGTCCAAGGCAGTGCTGTCCAACAACAGAACTTTGACGATGGAGATGTTCTTTGTCTGTGCAGTCCGACAGAGTAGCCACTAGCCGCAGGTGGCTGTTGAACATTGGAAATATGGCTAATGTGACTGAGAAACTGATTTTTTAAATTTTATTTAATTTTAATTAATTTAATGACATAGTCACGTGTAGTTAGTGGCTATGGGATTGGATAGTACAGGTCAAGTGGGGGTTGGTCTCCCCATCAGTTTGTGAGCACCTTGAGAGCTGGGACTGGGTCCGGGTTTTGTGTGTGTGTGTGTTTGTGTGTGTGCTTCCAGGGCCCAGTGCAAAGCCCGGTCTATGATACAAGCTTCAGTAAACATTTGCTGAGTAAAGGAAGAAAAACATGGGCTAGGCAGACTCCCAAATTCTGTGCTCTGAGAAGCTGAGAAAGAGGAAGGGCTCCCCCTTCAGCATAACCCTGTTTCTACCCTTGTGTAGAAACCTACTTGTTGGAAATTCCCCATCCCTCTGGTGTTAAATACCACCCGGGCTTACCTGTGAAGGTCTTAAGTAAAAGCTCTGGGTAGGGGGTTGAAAACTTCTCAGGGACTGAAAGATCTGAGTATTATGAGGGTCCTGTGTGCTGAAGAGGATGATTGAGGGGTAATGAGGCTCTATGAGAAACCTCACCTACTGCTCAGTGTTGTCTCTGCCTGGACCCCATAGGATTAAACAATGCTAGAGCAGGAAGGGGCACGAAAGCCTGTCATGTTCTGCCCTACTTAGCCCTGAGACCCTGGGGGCTGGCATTTAGTAGGTATCAGTATTTATGGAGTGAAAGAATGAATGAACCAGCTAACTCAATGGATTCCAATCTGGGTTCTGAGGCCACCTGGAGGACTCCTAAGGTAATGGAAATAATAAAAGTAATTAACATTTGTTGAGGGCTTACTATATAGTAGGCAACGTCTTAAGAGCTTTATATACTTATTTCATTCTCACAACACAATGAGGAAGCTACTAATGTATTATTATTTCCATTTTACATATAAAGAAACTGAGATAAGGAAACAAAGTATCTTGTCCAAAACCACCCAGCTAATATTAATAAATGGCAGAATTGGGACTTGGATTCAATTCTGACTCCAAAGCTCTCATCCATCTTACTCTAGTGTCTCTTACTAGAGTAAGGTCTTTATGTACAGTTGTGCAAATTATACAGTGCATAACTTGAGAACATACAAGTCACACTGTAATGCACAAAAATAGCATTCCCTAGAGTTGTGCAGTACACAATCTGCATAACTGTTCCTGGTGACCCTGAACTCTCATTTATTCTCTTACACCTGAAAGAACAGTCTAGAATAACACATACACTATCTCTGGGATTAAATGATAACATCTATATAAAGCACTTGGCATAGTACTTGACTCAGAGATGGGTAGTTTTATTTTTTAAATTGCTTTTGTTAATTATAGAGATTGACAAGGCATCTGGTACTGTAGTTGCAAGAGCCTAGACTTACACTGTCTGGTATGTAGCCCCTAGGCCCTTGTGACTATGGAGCACTTGAAAAATGTGGCTAATCTAAATTGAGATGCGCTATAATTGTAAAAACACACCATTTTCCAAAGACTCAGTATGAAAAATGTAATGTGAAATGTCACATTGACATTTTTATATTGATTACATAAATACATGATAATATTTTGGATGTATTTCTTTAAATAAAATATATTCATAAAATTTATTTCACCTGTTTCCTTTTATTATACCTTTTTAAAATGTGGTTACTAGAAACCTTAAAATTACACATATGGCTCCATTGTATTTCTACTGGATAGAACTGTCTTAGTTCCAGAGGGCCAGCTACGGTACATGTCAGTGTGGCTTCTCCCTAAGGTCAAATGTTACCTTGTTCCATCTTGTTTTAAACCACAGTAACAACCCCTTTGCCGTTACCTGTAAAGTCTGCCCCAAACATAGGGCACTAACTGTGAAATGGAGATAACAGTAGTCTCTACTTCAAAGTGTTGTCGTGAGAATGACCTGAGAGAATCCAAAGTGTGCGACACAGCTTCCGTACGTAGTGGTACGGAGTTGGTACTCAATACGTTTTAACTATCATTGTTATTTTATTATTTTATTTTAATTCTAAGGGATGGTTTTTCTAATATGTCCATCTAAGTGGCCTACTAATGAGAATTGTGAATGTCTAGGAACGGCTGGGATTTTTAAAGTGCCCATGTGTGAGAACAGCATGGAAGTGATTCACCTGGAAGTGATTCGCCAGGTGGAGGGATGGCTTTCTGAGCCCCACTGCAGTGTTCTTTACATGCCATTGATGAGGACACTTCGATGGTGCCATCTCATGGAGAGATCTGGCACTACCAGAGGCCGCCTGTCCGTCTAACCTCCCTACCCCTCCGAGCAGGCCAAAGTTCTAGTTAGGCACGGTCCCTAGTGAGAGGCACCCTGTGAGCACCAAGCAAGGGCAGCTGCTCCTCTGCAGATCCCTCTGCCAGGGCATTTCAAAACCAGAAGTCTACTCAGATGACCTCTCCCGTCTTTCTTTACAGCACTCCACTCTTTCCTTAGGTATCAAGTCTCGAGACTTCCTGAGAAATTGAAAGTAGTTCTTCCCTACAGAAAAATCCTGAATCTTTCACGTATCAAGACTTTTGTCTTCCTAGGGAGATCAAAATGCTCCTGGCCACTGGGCTCAGGGCTCTGCTATCTCGAAGGTAATGCATGTGTTGCTGAATTGAGTCCTTTTAGAGACCATATCCTCAGCCTTGTACATGGTTCTGAGAGAGGGAATTCCAGGCCAGGTCAGAGAAGACCCTGCCCAGGGAAAGCCATTCTCATTCCCATCTCCACGTAGAGCTACTCCCTGGGAGAGGACGTTTCAAGGCCACTTGAATAGGACAATTATTTTAGAAACACAGTGAGTTTTCTTTTCTCTGCTTAGCATTCACACCACACTTACCACCCTCACACTTGGTTGCTTATAAAAATCCCAACTATTTTTAGGGACAATATTTATTATTCTCATTTATAGGCTCAAAGGGCTGAAAGAAGAGTGCAAAATTATATCTGAACACAGTCTTTTTGACGATGAAACTGCACACCAAAGTCACCCCTGCACAGGAGTCATTATGAGCAGCCCTGAGGGAGAGATGTGACTTTCTTTTTTGTGTATCCTAGGTCAAGAAACAAATCAAGGCCCTCCCACTGTAATTTAACACACATCATTAGGACCTCTGGCAGCCTTTTGCTTAGGGAAGCAGACAAGGAGACCCTTTGTGGCCCTGGCTGGGACAGTACTCAACCACCAGCAATGGGAGGCCCAGAAAAGGGCCAACTTGTTGATGATCCAGGTAGTTCATTCCGTATCCCACCCATTCTCTTCCTCCAGAAAGGCCACCACTCTTATTACTATCCTTTGGCCACAAATAGATTCTCCTCTCAGAAAGAAGTTTGATGCAGTGATGTTTCCTGCCTTCCAAAGTGTTACCAGGACCAGGTATGGGCTGGGCTACCCGGGGCAGGCAGTGATAGGAACCTGCTGCCAGTGCCGATCTTTCATTCCTGGGTTGCAGGAAATACTGAGGATAGGAATGTACTGCTTGAACTTATCAATCTTGATTTTCATATTCTCTGCTAAGCGCTTGGGTGCAGGTACATCAGCTAAGGTCTTGATCAATTTATATGTCGTCCTCCACATATTCCCTATGTCCTCCGCAATTTCTTCAGCATTCAGTAAGAAGAGGGGTCCTGAAATAGAAAAGATGGGGTGAGGGAAGGGTAAGACCATCAAGCAGATGTCCGTCACGTGTAGCTTTAATTCCCTGAACTTGGAACGTGCCTATCGTATGGATATTGGAATAAGCACAGGCTTTGGGGTTGGGTCTGGTTATAGACTTCCACTTAGTCAGTGAAAACTTGGGTGTGTTACAGGAGTTTTCTAAGCCTCAACAGTATTGCCTGGGGTACAGGGGTAGCAATGGGTACCTTGGAGGGGGATTGTGACAATTAAGTGAGATAACATAGTTACAGTGGCTAACATAATGCCTGGCATATAATGGATGTGTAGTTAGTGTATCAATTGCTATTATTGGTTTTAGATGCTTTTATAGTAGTAACAAAAGGTGCTTGACAAAAGCTGTGAAATATTAACAATTGGGGAATGTGGGTGAATGAGGATACGGGTGCTTTCTGTATAGTTCTGGCAACTTTTATGTAAGTTTGAAATTATTTAAAAAACAAAGAATGACACCTCATTTAAAAAAATGCTCCAAAACATTAATTTCCTTCTCCTTTTTTTCCCTTGTACGGAACCTTTTGTATTTAGGTTTCATTTCACGTTCAGTCAAAATCTGTCTGTGCTGCTGTTTCTTTCCCCTTGGATATTCTGAACTAGTATTAATTCTTGCATCATGATGTTGCTAATTTATCCAAAAACACTTCTCTTTCAGGGATGCTGAAACTAAATACAGCTCCATTAAGTTAACGTGCTTCATCGACCCAACTTGTTTGTTGAGTAATCAAAAATTCAAATTTAAAAACAAAGAAAAAGAAATGTGGCTTCCACGCATCAGGAAATATTGTAGGTGCGAGGCTAGAATAGAAAAGCTGACTAATCTATGTCTACAAGAGGCAAGTACATAGGATAATTTGATCTAGTCATTTCACTTTTAGGAATTCATTCTAAGAAAATAATCATAGTTGTATCCAGAAAATTGGCAATAAAGGTGCTCATCACAGTTGTGTTTATAATACTGAAGCACTAGAAATGGGCTAAAGGCTCAACCCAAAGGTCTCTGATTTTGTCCTCTGCTGTTAAGCTCTCTCCACAGGTGATATCATTCATGGCTTTAATTGTAATCTACACATCAATTATTCCCCCCATATAAACCCCATCTCCCAAATCTCTCTCTTGAAATCCACTCTGATATACTCAAGTGCTAATTAATATTCTCATTTGGATGGTTGTAAACACCTCAAACTCAATGTATTCAAGTTGATGGGGTTTCTTTTCCCTCAGCAAATGTGTCACTTCTGTTGTTCAGTGGTGGCATTACCTACCAAACTACCTAAGCCAATAATATGGAAGTCTCCCTAGGTTCTTCCCTCTTTCTCCCTGCCCCTTTACTCCATATCAGATCAGTCATTAAGTCCTGTTGATTCTATCTTCTCATTATTTCTCTAGACTTCAGGTCCTAGAGTAAAAATGTAGTTTACAGATGTCTATGACACTCTGGCCTTTCTTGAAGCACCACTGTAGTGGAACTGTCAGTTTATTCTCCCACCAACTGGGTCTCTGAGTCGCTGCTTGATCCATGGCTCTGGATAGCTACCTATTCTATTTTACCCTGGAAATAAGTCTGGCTCTTTGATTGCCACCTTCCATTGCTATCATCATATCAGAAAATTTTGACTGTGGCTGCTTTAATCTGGAGTGTCAGAATCTGATAATAAGTCCAGCCAGAATCTGAAGTGCAAACCTTATTTAAGAACTGGCTGGGTGGATCCTCTACTTCATCCCCATCTGACCCAGGAGGGTGGGACCAGGGCATACCATTCATCCACTCCTCAGACTTGGTGCTGAACTCGTAAGCTGTCACCCACAGCTGCTCATAAGGCACTTTATTGGTCATCAGGGCTTGCAGAAGAGGGTAGGTACTCTTCTCCTTTTCCAACAGCTCTTCCTCCTTATTGATCAACTGCAAGGCAAAGGGGGATGCTGTTTATTGGGTGGGCTATCAGGAAAATACAAAACCAAGGACCAGAGCCAACAAACAGGACAGAGTCATAAGTCTCCAGCACAAGCGATCTCAAACCTCAAATTCCACCAGTGCCTGATCTAGGTTCTTTGAAAGTTCATTAAGCTTTTCCACATTGTTCTTCATTTCTTCTGTAGTCATCACTTCACGCTTCCTAAAACCTTCTAGTTCCTTGTTGTAGCCCTCAAGTTTCGACTCAAATTCTGAGCACCTGAAAGCAAAGGCAGCCCAGTCACATTTGAACTTTCCATTTTGTGCACTTTTAAAATATCAGCGTTGCTTGTCCATACTCAAGCCTGGGAAGAATTTGATCTTCTGGTGCCTACAGACCCCCTCCCCCTCAAAATAAATGAAGAGGAAAAACTGAGTTAAACAACTTATAATACCACCTCCCAGAGTTGCACCTGCTGTGCACCTATTGGTAATGATACATTTCCAGGTGTTTTCTTATATACGTAAAAAAATATATATACACATAATGTATGTACATATATATATAGTTTGTTCATTCATTAGATATTTATGATTGAGTGCTTCAAACATTCCAGAACTGCTGTAGCATCAGGAATATATTTGTGAAGTATGCTATTAAGCTCTATATCCTCACGGAGCTTGTATTTTAGTTGGGGGAGATCTAGACAACAGACATGCATGGATGGATGGAGAGATGGATAAATCCATAGATAGGACAAATATTTAATGAGACATTTCTGATAGTGATAAGTGTTCTGAAGAAAATAAAACAGGGCAGAGTGACTAGTGGACAGAAGTGGAGTGCTACTGCAGCTAGAGTCATCAGGGGACACCTTCCCAGAGATTTATCTACTTCATCCATATTATCAACAAAGCAGGTCTCAAGGAAAACTGCTCCCTTTTTCCAATGAGGTAGGATAATATGGTGTTAAGTAGACAGTGTCTGGAGCCAGACAGGATAGGTTCAAATCCCCATCTTGCCACTTAGTAACTGTATGGCCCTGGACAAGTCACTTAAACTCTCTATGCCTCAGATATATAAAGCAAGGGTAGAAAAAGTACCCAATTAATAGTTAAAGGTAACAAAAAATTGCTCAGAATTGAGCCTGGTACATAATAATCACTCTACAAGTGTCTGCTCACATTCTCTAACATGTAAACACTATAAATACAGTTTTGTCTCCTTAATTCCTTGTTGTAGCTTCAGCACTTAGAAGAGTGTCTGGCACACAGCAGACAATCAATATTCATTGAAAGAATAAGGGGGCTTGTCACTGAGATCAGCTGTAGTGACATTCCATAAATTTGGCTATTATTTTAAGAATACTTAATTCCATTATGGCGGTTTTAGTGTTTATTTTTTCTTAAAGTAATTTAAGAGTTAATTTACAGGTAGTTTGATTTGGGTTTTATTTCTAATTGCACTGGGCAGTAAGCAGCCTCTGATGTGATTTCTAATGATCCTCAACTCCTGGTATTCATAACCCAATATGATCAGCTCTCCTTGAGTTTGGGCTAGATCTAGTAACTAACTTCTAACAGACAGAAAATGGCAGGAAGGACAGGATACCACTTCTAAGATTAGGTTACAGGAAGACTGACTTCTATATTGCTTGCTCACTCTTGCAGTCTCTCTCGCTCTGAGGGAAGCCAGCTGTTGTGAGCTACCTATGGAGAGGCCTTTGGGCAAGGAAGGGAGGGCAGTTTCTAGAGAATAGCCTATGAGGAACTAAATCCTACTTACAATCACGTGAATGAGCCTGAAATTGGATCCTCACCCAGTTGAGCCCTCAGATGAGACTGCAGCCTTGGCTGCCATTTTGACTGCAACCTCATGAGAGACCCTGGGTCAGTCAGAGGCTTACAGCTAAGCTGCACCTGGATTTCTCTACTTTTATCTACCCTTTTCCTTTCTTGTAAGTGTTATGTGTGCAGGGATTATGGCAGCTAAAGTTGGGCAATGGGAGTGTCCTGTGTGAAGGGGACAGGGAGATGGGTATGAATCTGCAGGTCGTAATCAAAGTGTTACGAGCTGGGATGGGCATGTGTGCGTGTGGGTGAGTGTATGTGTGTGCACATGTGTGTCTACCATGTACATGGCACTTGGCCCACTTTCTGGATATTGTTGGATTTTTCACTAAGTCTATATTTTCTCTGTCACTTGATTAAAATCTTTATTTAGCAGCCAAACGCACATGTGTCAAATAGAGCACAGCATATCATAAAAATCCTTAATAAATACCGGTTGAATTGATAAATAATGAATGAATAAATGGTTACAGCCACATCAGCACTGAACAAGACCAGCTGCAAAACAGGCAATTCTCAGCCCCCTTCCATGTCTTTCTTATCCCTGTTTTGATATCTCACAGTTCTGTGGCCTCCAATGTAAGGCTGAAAATTTCACTATTATTATTGCAGAGGCCATTATTATAATACATGCCACTATTTTGGCCTTTTTCTCTCTGCACGGCCAAATTCCAATTATTCAAGGGAGGGAGGGAAGACATTAGCAGGGGTTACTACAGTGAAACAGTTTTAAAGAAAACATCCCTCAGTGTGAAACAAAAGGAAATTCCTTCTCCACCAATTGTTTTCAGCTTCGCCCACACATTGCTGTGGGCTCTAGACACAACCAGGAACCTGTAGTGTGGGTTATAAAGCTGGTTCTCATTTACAAAACTATCCCAGACTCTTCCTGTACCTTTTAATCAGATCCATCTCTGCCTGATCCCTCTTGCTAAGGAGCAGGTTTCGGCTGTTTTCGAAGATATCTTCTATCTGGTCTGGCCAGAGGAACAGAGTGCTGTTCAACTTGATGTCCTCATCTGCAAAACACATACAGTCAGCTTCAGGACACTGTTCAGCAAGGTCAGAGTGTGGGGAATTATCTGGCAGAACAAGAGGCCAATAAAAGTGGGTATAGGGGCAGCACAGGCCCATTACAGACAAATGAACGACGGCCAACATTTATTGAGCACTTACTAAGGGCCAGGCTAGAAGGTAGATGGTATTATCAACCTCGTTTGTACAGATGGGAAATAAAGCTGTTAAGCCAGTGGTCAAGGTTACACTGCTGGAAGGCAGCAGAGCAGAATTCAAATCTGAGTCTGATCAACTCCAAAGCTTATGTTCTAACTAACCACTTTGCTTTATTGCCTTCCCAGGTTAGGTCTGGGGTAAGTCAGAAACCTGGGTTGAAATTCTGGTCCCACACTTCACACTATATCACTTCACCTGAGTCTCAGTTTGCCTTTTGGTTAAATGGCAGTAATAGTATAAAAAGGATTCTGCATTTAGAAGTGACTTTTCCAGGAACACTAGACACAAGTTACCAAGACAGGCATCTAAGAACTAGAGGTCAAGCCTCTAGATAGTCTTCTTTTTGTCTAACACGATTCCCTTTGTGTGATTCAAATTTCTGTGGATAAGAGTGTGGAATTAATGCCTTTAACATATAGGGACACTTGAAAAGCAGCTCTCCTGAGATTTACTGGTAAGATTCCTATAACCATCTTTCCCCTAACACCTTATCAGGAAATACATAATTATAGATTTTTTTTTTAAGATGGTCTCGCTCTATTGCCTGGGCTAGAGTGCAGTGGCATCATCACTGCTCACTGCAACCTCAAACTCCTGGGCTCAAGTGATCTTCCTGCCTCCCAGGTAGCTGGGACTACAGGCGCATGCCACCACACCCAGCTAATTTTTCTATTTTTGTAGAGATGGGGACTGCTCTTTCTCAGGTTGGCCTTGAACTCCTGGCCTCAAGTTATCCTCCCACCCTGGCCTCCCAAAGCGCTAGGATTACAGATGTGAGCCACTGTGCCTGACTGTAGAATATTTTTATATGTTATATACACAAATATAAAATATACATATACATATGCATTACATGTACACACAGGGCTTTGGATTTACTTGGCAAATCTGCATAGTCCAACAAGAACTCCAGCCTTTCAATTGCACTTCTAAGTTGCCTCCTGAGTTTGAACACAGTGACATCGCTGGATTTCTTTAAGTATTCAATGAGGAATACCAGCTCCGCAGTGTTGGCAGGAACCTCATTGACTTTGTCTGCAATGGTGCTGTACTGATTACAAATGCTACAAGAAAGAAACAACCATTATCATCATCATCATTATCATCTAAAATGACTTTCTTGTAAGACTTTGTGCTAAATAGACATAATTCCTATTTGGAGACTAAAACGATGGTTTCCCATTTTTCTCTACCTACAAATCCTTGATGGATAATAGTCACATGCACACCAAACTCCAAGGAATAATAACACTAGTAATGGTAATAATATTTCTCTTGTATGAAGTCCTTATGAAGTGCCATGCCCTATTCTAATTATTTACATATATTAACTCATTTAATCTTCACAACAATTCTAAGAAGTAGGTACTATTATTATCTACATTTTATAATGGAGAAAGTGAATCTGAGTAACTTTATCCAAAGCAACATGGTGTGTAGGTGTCAGAGCCAAGATTTGAACCTGGGTTAATTGACTCCAAAGTTCATTCTCTTAACAAACACACACCATACTACCTCTCATGGGTAGAATCCAGATTTAGACTAAAACAACAAGAACACCACCACCATTAACAACAACCCCTCACATTTTATGCTGAAGTAGGGCACTAAATTAATTTGTAATCATTGCTATTAACAGCACACCAGCGAGTTTATCTTCATGCGCTGCAGGTAATCCCTGGTGGCAGAGAGAAAGTTATGTTGAACTATTGGAACCAAGAGATCTAACTGCCTATTTCTCAAACATAAGACTGTGAAAAATGATATTATTATAGGGATAATTTAAATATGCTCTCATTTATACAAAAGTAAATCACTGACAGTCTTCACCATTTTAAATACAAATTACAGACAAATTATCTGCAATACATCCATGCCTAGCACAGAGCCACCCTCAACAAATGTTAGCAATAATATCTGTCATAGTTTTGTTATTATTAATTGATCACTACATGTTGATGTGTCATACACCATAGAGGAAAACCACCCCTTCAATGTTTTCAGGCCTCAATACTGCATCTTAATGTGTAGAGACTCTTCCAATAATGAAGCTAATTGTAACAAACTGAAGAGAAAATGATTAAAACAGTTTTGCAGATGATACTGGGATTTTAGAAAAGAATTTTTATACAACTTGGAAACTTCCTGTAGAGAAAAATTATCTACCGCCTTACAATGTATTCAGAGTGTTCTCCACTTCTTAGACCCACAGCTATGTCATATTTCCCAGCCTCCTTTGTATTTGTACTTGGGTATTGCGTTAGTCAGCTCAGGCTACTGTAACAAATACATCACAGAATGGGTGGCTTAAACATGTTTTCTCTCAGTTCTGGAGGCTGGGAAGTCCATGGTCAAGGTGCCAGCTGATTCAGTTCCTGGAGAAGGGCCTCTTCCTGGCTTGCCTTTTTGCTGCGTCCTCACTTGGTAGAGAGAAAAAGAGCTCTGGTGTCGCTCCCCTTCTTCTAAGTGCAACTTTTGGATTAGGGCCCCGCCCTAATGACTTCATGCAACCTCCTTATGGGCCCTATCTCCAAATGCAGCTGCACTGTGGGTTAGGGCTTTAACGTATAAATGTGGAGGAGCACAATTCAGTCCATAGTGGTTAAGGATGTGTGATTAGATTCTAGCTGGTGGGAAGTGGGAAGCAGTGATGAGTATCGCTTTTGGCTATAGCACATAAAACTGTCCATGCTCTTTCCTCCTCTCAACTGTCTAGGATGTCAACACTCAGAATGACCTTGAAAGTCATGTGTTGAAGATGTAAAGTCATCATCTGTTTGAGTTTCTGAATGCACGAAGATCTCCCCCACCCATCTGGCATTACCCTGAGCAAGATATACACTTCTATTGTGTTCAGTTATCTTGGATCTATTTGTTACAGAATCTAGCCTACGCTAACACAGGTAGAGTCTCTCTGTCTGATAAACTTCTATCTGATTAGAGTCCACTTTGCTTCCCTTTTGCGTAAGAATGCATAGAATAAATATCATGTGGTTGCCGGCTACCAGCTTCTTGGATGAGTCCGAAAGGGTGGGAGCAGACCCACTGACTACTGGACCCTCTAAAAGATCCTGAATATGGGTCACTGATGTCAAGAATATAGCTAACGTAACACTCTAGCAATAGCCAAGGATAAGCTGAGGACGGAAAACATTGCCTTCCACATGTATCGATAACATTTAAAATCTAAAACACCTGGGGTCCCATAAGCACAGGGCTTTTCTCTGTCTGGTGTAGAAGATGACATAGGGATTGATGCCATAAATCTTGCACCAATTTGTGGCCTCTCTCCACCCTGTTGTTATTGTTTGGACAAGACTTCTCACCCTGTAGGAAAATCAGGCAGCCAAATCAAAGGGATAATGCCTCAGAGCCTTGAATTTTTGGTCAATGCTTCAGGCCATCATTCTGGCAACTTTGGACAAACACATCATAGTGAATATGAATGGCATGTCCACTTTCCTACTGATGCACTCCAAAGCGCCCCTGCCTTTACAGCCGGAGAGCTCTACTCTAGGAGCACCCAGTCTTTGGAAACAGTGAGGTATCCCACTCAGCAACTACACCATGGTTGGACAGGTCTTAGGATTGGAAGACTCAAATTCGCACTCACCTACCTACTTGGGCAAGTTAGTTTTTCTTTCTGGGCCTCATTTCCTCCTACATAAGGGATCTCACCTCTGTCCTACTTACCTCAAAGAGCTGTTGAGAAGGTCAAGTGAGTCAGAGTCATTATTTTTAAGGCAGAAAGAAAGTTCAGAAGTCAGCCACCAACCTGGAGGTAGTTGCCAGCTTGGGGTTTCTGCATCCTTAGAAATTCCTGAGTTCACAAAAGGGCCCTTATTTTTACTTACATTAAAAAGTTCTAAGGAAATTCACATTTATTTTTATAAGGATGGATGCAGTGACCAACTAAGACACCATGTTGCTCTGAGTTGACAGGAACAGATAGACTGTTGCTTAAGGAGAAATAAACTGATGGCTCAAACTTTCCAAAGACAGTGTCCTAGCAGTGTGAAGGCTGAAAACCTTTTACCATCCTAGTCCCAAATCTTTATTCTATAGGCAAAGAAACTGAAGATCCAAGAGGTGAAGCCAGGTGTCACAAAGCTAGTAAATACAAGGTCTTGGATCCCAAACCAGGAATCTGGCCACTTCATCACTCAGTGGGAAAGCTGAGTGTACAAAGACTTTGAGGTCAAAATAAACTAGGTTTGCAAACTGAGATGCAAAGAGAAGCCATGGAACTGTCCCTCCAATAAGATAATAAGGTTAAGCCCTGGATGTGCCACTTGCTAATCTCTTGGGGTCTCAGTTTCTTCATCAACACAATGGAAAGAATAAAGAACGACCTCTTAGGATTGTTGTGAGGACTTGATTAGATCTATCCTATGCAGACTATAACATGTGCTGGGAAAATGGTAGCTGTTATTATCATTCATTTGCTGACAAGTTTCTGTTATGTATTATATAAACCTTAAAGTATGATAAAATGCTAAAATTGCATGTATATGAATAATACAGTATACAATATAATATTAACAGTGATCATATTACTAATCCATTTTAGTCTATAATTTAAAGTATTTGGGGGCTCTGGGCCTCGGTCCTCCGCCCGCGCCCGCAGAGCCTGTTCGCGTCGACTGACCAGAGTCGGCGAATTCTCCGCTCCGATCCCGTCCGGACTGTCCCCACCCCAGCTTTCTATTCTTTGAAAACACTAAGAATAATGTCCCTGCGTCAGTTTTTACTAGAGCCAATCACCTGTCATGCCTGGAACAGGGATCGTACTCAAATTGCCCTTAGCCCCAATAATCATGAAGTGCACATCTATAAGAAAAATGGGGGCCAGTGGGTGAAAGCTCATGAACTCAAGGAGCACAACGGACACATCACAGGTATTGATTGGGCTCCCAAGAGCGACCGCATCGTCACTTGTGGGGCAGACTGCAATGCCTACGTCTGGAGTCAGAAAGATGGTGTATGGAAGCCAACCCTGGTGATCCTGAGAATTAATTGCGCAGCCACTTTTTGTGAAGTGGTCCCCCCGGAGAACAAATTTGCTGTGGGAAGTGCAGCACGGCTCATTTCTGTTTGTTACTTCGAGTCTGAAAATGATTGGTGAGTAAGCAAGCACATTAAAAAGCCAATTCGCTCCACAGTCCTCAACTTGGATTGGCATCCCAACAATGTTTTGCTGGCAGCAGGATCATGTGACTTCAAATACGGAGTGTTTTCTGCCTATATTAAAGAAGTGGATGAAAAGCCAGCCAGTACACCCTGGGGCAGCAAGATGCTTTTTGGTCAGCTGATGTCAGAGTTTGGGGGCAGTGGCACAGGCGGCTGGGTCCATGGGGTCAGCTTCTCCTCCAGTGGGAGCGGCCTGGCCTGGGTCAGTCACGACAGACAGCACTGTATCTGTTGCTGATGCCTCGAAAAGCGTGCAGGTCTCAACTCTGAAAACAGAGTTCCTGCCACTCCTGAGTGTATCGTTTGTCTCTGAGAACAGCGTTGTGGCTGCTGGCCATGACTGCTGCCCAGTGCTCTTTAACTATGATGACCGCGGCTGCTTGACCCTTGTCTCCAAGTTAGACATTCCAAAACAGAGCATCCAGTGCAACATGTCTGCCATGGAACGTTTCCGCAACATGGCCAAGAGGGCCACGACCGAGGACCACAATACAGCCTGGGAGATGCTGCACCAGAATAGCATCACTCAAGTGTCTATTTATGAGGTGGACAAGCAAGACTGTCACAAATTTTGCACTACTGGCATCGATGGAGCCATGACCATTTGAGATTTCAAGACCTTAGAGTCTTCTATACAGGGCCTCCGGATAATGTGAAGCTGAGTGAGCCTCTGCCATCCAGCACGACAAACGGTGGCTGACCACAGCTCTGCTATTGGATGGTGAGGAGAGCCAGCGCCAAGGAAACACTGAAAACACATATCGTGCAAATAGTGTGTGGTTTTGTTTGAGTATAAAATTGGTGAAAGTATTGGTTTTTTAAAAGCAGCAGTGATTTTTTTTTTTTTTTGGCTATTTCATTCCGTTCTTGACCAAAGCTTCTCTTTAAGTAGTTTATTATGGAAAATTGTCACACTAACTTAAAGGAAAGGGTGAGGGAGATATGTAAATTGTCCACTAGAAAATTAAATTAAAATACTGAAAAAAAAAGTATTTTGGGGAAGAGAGCTAGAATAACACGGAATAACCATTTTGTAAATTCAAATAGAGACGCAGTAGCAGACAGTTACTGTCTCTACCTCTCAGCATCCATTCCCTCTTCTGGCAACAACACCCTAAGTCTTCTGGGGGAACTCCCCTCCCTCTCTCAGTTCATGCGGTTTAGGTAGGAATGACACCCACCCCAGGGATGGGAACACCAGCTAGATCTAAGCCATCCTCTTGGCCACAGTGTTTTGTTCAACGATGCACAAAGGACCCAAGTCAGACCAACATCACAAGGGCCTGGACTTTTGCGGGTACTGGAGAAAGAGAAACTGTTTGCCCCTCTGGATGGGAATTTGGGAGGATATAAGCCTGAAGGCGCTGGGGCCCACAAACTGGAAGAGGCTGTCAGAGAATGGAGCCAACTCAACTGAAAGCCAAGCAGAGAGAGGGGGAGAGCATCATAATTGCAGCGTTGAGGGCCTGAAGGTTGAAACCCCCAAACTATTCAATATGTGAGCACCAAATTCCCTAAGCTAGTCTGTTTGGGCTTCTATCCCTTACAACCAAAAACTCTTCACTAATATGTAGTTATCGGTAAAACAAAGGCACAATATAGAGTTTAAGACTGAACGACAGAATTCCCAGACCTAAACAGCAGAAGTCTGCCGAGGAGTGATTCTAAGGAAAAGATGTCTGTAAGCACCCTGTGTTTCAAAATATGTGCTAGTTGGCCGGTGAGAAGGGCCTGTGACCTCAGATTGCTAAGCCCAGGAAGCAGCTCGCATTCCCATGATGTTGCCTGCAAGAGAGCAAAGGCTGCAGGATCAGAGACCAACTGCCAAAGGATCCTCTCCACTCTCCTACTCCAGTCCCCATGCAGTGTTCTTCCAACTGTTCACCTTCTAGCCTGAACCTGAATTCCCTGTCACCCTCACTTTGGGGCAGAAAAAAGAACTAAAAGACCAGTCTGGTCATTGCTGGAAGGCACAAGCTCTGGTCACTTTTTTCTCCAGCTGGTGCCAAATATCACTGTTATTTTTCTGCACAGAATTATGATACCTGGTATTGGTTTCCCGGTTTACATCCACTTGGAATTGAATCAGACGGTCTTTAAGATTTTGAGCTCGCTCACAGAGATCATAATTTAGGATCATGGCATCAAGGCAGAACATGGCTAAAGGCACGGTAATGTGCATGGATGCAATTTCATTTCTCCGTTTTTTAATGGCATTTATCCTCTGTAGAAAAGAGCACATTTAGTAGCTTGATTTGTCTTTGAGCCTCTACCTACTGCCTCCCAGCCCCACTCCCGCCATCCTTCATCCAGTGTTGAGCACAGTATATACACTAACAAAACGCACTGACTGCTCATTGGATTGTTTGTAGCACATAATCACCAAGGTGTAAAATATCAAGTGGCATCTCCTACCATTACAAAATCCTCAATTTCATGATTTTCTTTCAGGAATGCTGTGATGCTTTGCTCTGCTGTGTTATCCAATAAGTCGTCGTACTTTTTGTATACATTTAAGTACCTTCCATATTGAAGAGTGTAAAATCAAACACACAAATACAGATTACCAAATCAGATGAGTCAGAGTGGCAAATGAAGATATAATAGCATGAAAAAAATTAGCCCAAACCAGGGAAGAAAACTATAATGTGGCAAAAGTTGCATTAAATGGAGAATTCAAAATTTTGGCTTTGAATTCCAATTTTGCCACTTCCTAGCTGTATGAACTTAGACAAAATATTTAACTTTTTCAAAGATCAGTGTCTGCAATTTTAAGTGGAACTAATAATTAATACCTCAGGATTGCTGTAAAGCTTAACTGTAATAAAGTATATATAAAGCAATTAATACTATGCCTGGCATACAGTGAATGCGTAACGAATATTACAGGAGTTCTCCCTGGTCCTCAGGGATAAGTTCCAAGACCCCCAGTGAATGCCTGAAACCGTGTATAGTACCAAACGTTTTATATACTATTTTTTTTTCCTATACATACACAGCTATGATAAAATTTAGTTTATAAATTAGGCACAGTAAAAGATTAATAATAATAAAATAGAACAATTATAACAATATACTGTAATAAAAGTTATGTGAATATGTTTTCTAATAACTAATAAAGTTACAGTTAAACCAACTTACTTGTGGGGGCCAACTTGATTTTTCTGAAATACCTGAAAAGTTTGACTCACAAAATCAGAAACGAGTTTTTCTTCAGCGTTAACAGTTCCAAGGATCAGATTATATCCTTTCAACTCCGGGAACAGGATAGATTCCACCTAAAGAGTAGAAGTCATTTTTGGATATCTCAAGACATCCACAAGACACATGGTGGTACCAAAATGCAAAAGCACCTGTGACAGACTCATCTCCAGGGACACCAGCTGCATTTTTATTATATTTATTTTCACTATATTTCCACTTAATGTTGGAATCACTCTGCTGTTCCTTTTACCTCTTTCCTCTCTATTCTCTCTCCTTTCCTTCCTGTCTGGATTGCTTGCCTTTCGAATCCCTGCTCCTTTCAAACGTCATGTCCTTAGAGAGGATACCCAGGCTCCCAGTGGGCATTGGGTTTCCCTGTTTAAAGCTCACCTTCTGAATCTTTTCTGCTTGGCACACATCACAATTGCAATTAAATGAATGTGCAATGAGCTGTTCTAGGTGTGTCACAGAATATAAATACTCTGAGGGCCTGGGCTGTATGTGACTTCTTCACTGTTGCATCCCCAGGGCCGAGCAAGAGCTGGGCACTTAGCAAGTGCTCAGTAAATACTACACGAGTCAAGGAACTCGTGGTGGTGCCCCCTTCCTCCCCTACCACCCGCTTTTCCTCACTAATGAAAAGCTCCTTGAGACATGGATTCTAATTCTGACCCTGCCACTAACTGACAACGTGACCTTAGGTAAATTACTTCTCTGAACCTCCATTTTCTCATCTTTATAAATGAAAGATATGCTAGATATAAAGGAGAGATATACTAGATTCTCTTCTCAGCTCAGGAAAAAAAGAAAAAGAAACTATGGCTTTGTGAACAAGAGTATCTTTTCTGAGAATTCAGACTCTGACTTCTTAACCACATGTGTATGTCTCTGACAATGTTCTCATTTGCATGACTTGTGTAGGCTGAAAACCTAGCTGGGGACCTGTTGCCTTCCCCTGCTCTTTCTGCTAAGAAAGTTTTTAGTGACTGGTCTAAGAAAAGATCTTAGAGTGCTTTACTGAGTTTTAGGAGTTACATGCCTTTGATGAGAATGCATCAATTTAGAAAGGAGAAAAAGCAAGTGCAAATGATCATTGTCTTCTTTGGTCAATCCAGAGGTTTCTAAACCAGTAGAGGAGCTTTGCTGTGGCCATACTGCAGACAGTGGCTGAAGGCAAGAAGATGGAGGGCTTGGCATTGGTCAGCCACATGGATGAAATGGTTTAGGGAAGCACAATTGGTGCCCCCAGGCCCTGAGATAGGTCACAGGTGGACAGGATAATGGATTGTCTTTTGGGAAGGGTCTTCAATCCAAAGAGAAACACCTCTTGCTGCCCTTTCAACATGGCTTGTCCTCCCACACCCTACAGAGCAGTCTGTGAAACTGAGTCAAGAACAATCATGTCCTTTCTGGGTAATTAATTGTTACTTTCTGCTTATCTCCCTGGCTCTCTGATCCCAGACCCCTTGGTTGCATCATCACCCTTAATGCTCATGTCTGCACATTTCTCCAACTTTGGAATTCCCTGGCACTTTGAGTGAAAGAATTCTCCCATCAGCAGAGAGATCGGCTCTAGCCCTTTCCACAGTAATATATGTATATATATATATATACACGTATATACACATATATATATAATATTATATATATTACATATATTTTTTCCTTGATTATGAAAGTAATGCACTGATACGGCTGCAAATGCTGATTTAAACTCTACTTATTGCCGTTTTGGTATTATAAAACCCTTCCCTTATTTCATTCAGTTTTATTTGATTTCTGCCTCTCATTCACCTCTAATTAGAGCATCCTTGTTTTCCTCGGCTATATTGCTAAGACAATTTCTCATATTTACTTTGCTTTACTTTAGTAACTCTTTCTCACAAATATGCTTTCCTGCTGTACCTTGAATGCTACTTACTCTATTTTCAAAAGCCTCTTGCTAGCTTCCCTCCCCTCAACTTTTAAAATTCATGTTTAACCGTAAATAAGCATGACTTGTAGGGGGCGGAGGTACTACCCATGTGTTGCTGTTCTTATATATTTTTCTTATCAACTGGAGGAAGTATTTTTTTTTTTTTTTAATTTTCACTAACCAGTTCAGAGACGAAACAGTCTGAGGGGCTTGAGGACGGAGCCAGGGCTGTGGGTGCCACCAGATGCAGAACTCAGAGGCTTGTTGTTTTTTCTCACAGTCTGGTAGAGTCACCGGACCTCGCTTTCAAACCTGGTACAAACTGTGACCTGTGACTATGTCTTCCTGGTGTTACAATTCACTAAATTTAGTACCAGTCCTTGCTGGGCTGTTTGCAGTAGCAGCCACATGCACCCTGGACTCTCCCAGCCCAGCTGCTTGCGCACGTTGCTGATCGACAGCAGTGAAAGAGAACTCAAATGGTATGTGCTTTATCTGTCCTCAAGTTCCACACTTACCCCTCTGAGTTACAGAGTCTTCTCTTTCATTTCCTTCCTAGGGTATCGGTTGTAGGGTTGTAGGAGAGCTTCCCACTGTTTCTTCCTCCTTCCGCACACACTCAGTTTTCATGCCAATCAAGCTTGGTTGGGTTCAAAACTCCAAATGCAAAGCTCTCTGGTGAAATCACTGGAGCATTTGATTTCTCATGCTTCCCTACAAACCCCAGCTCTAATCTTGAGCTCTTAGAACCCTCTAAATACAGGATTACAAAGAGAAGAGTGCTCAAAAGCAGCCAAGCATACATAATGTGTAGAGAGAGCAAGGAGAGGAAGAGCAAGAGAGAGACAGAGATGGAGGAGGGTGGGGAAAGAGAGAGTCATGTCATAGGTCCCTTCCCTATACAGGATGGGACACTGGCCCTTTTGCCATACCAACCACCTAGAAGATGGAGCTCAAAAGAGTCACATCCAAGTGGATGATCCTGACTAGTAGTAAACGTTTGCTAATAAGTGTCTGGAATTTGATTAGTAACTCCACCCTGGAAAGGAAACTGGAAAGGTCTTGGGCCAGGAGGAGAAGAGTTATTCTCTCCTCTAGAAACCTACAGTGGCCAAAAACCAAACAAATGCAACTTCAAAATGAAATTTACCCAAATTCTTGTTAAGTTCATGGAAATTGATCCATAATGAATTAAGAACCCAAGTTAATGGATCTGGCTTGGGATACATCTGCTCCTTTGAAGTTGGCATCACAGAGGAAGCTATGTTCTCTCACAAAGTGACTCCTAAGTCCTTGTCAGAAGCACAATTCTGAGCTGCATCGACATTTCTTAATGGTCCAAATCACCTTTCTGGGGTCAAGGGGTTGTACTGAGGATACATTCCCAAAGTGAAACTCCCTTAACTGAATATCACATCAACTGTGTCTTGTACAAACAGCCATTTTAAATATATTCTATTCGGTAAGTGAAGAAAAATACAAATGATTAAGTAAATACTATACCTTGGGGATTCCATTAGAGTTCTTAATAATTTCCAAGAAAGAGTTGTGTATTAATTCCCAGCAGTCATCAAAAGATGGATTAAAGACAATAATGGGGTCATTGACTTCAAGTTTGATCATGATTAGCTGAGGTATAAAGAAATCCATCTCTTGGTAGGGTTCCTCAAAATCATTCCCATCCTTTAGGAGACATAAGGTATGGCAAATGTCACAAAATTGGGCTTCCACAATCAAGGGCGTGAGTCTTCTGCATTCATAGTACTACATGAGCACAAGGAAAGGAAATGAAGGGTCCCACGTACTATTCGTGCTTAAAATATGGGCCGGGTATGGCTTAGCCCACTCTGAGCTCATGCTCTGTCTCTTTCCCAAAGCCTTTACTCAATATTGTTTATTTTGCTTGGTAATTTCTGAACCCTAATTTCTAAATCCTTCCCATCCTTCAAAATGCAGTTCAAAATCCCCTCCTCTGGGAAGCCTCCCTGTTCCATAGCTGGATGTAATCTCCTCCACTTCTGACATTCCATGTCTCTACTTCCTTCATCATATTTTATCTTTTTCTCTTGCAGGAATTTATATGCACATCTTATCTTCTCTACTCCAAACTTGAGGGCAGGATCTATGTCTTATCCATCTCTCTCCACTAAAATACCCAAGACAGACTTCAGTACCTAATAGGTGCCCAGTAAAAATTTGTTGTTTGGATCCAAAAGTATAAATAGTTATTTATATGCCTTAAATGGAGATGCTAATGAGCATACAGTCTATTTCAGACACTCAAAATGTCAACCTTCCTACAACAGGAATATTGACATAGAACTATTTCTAATTCCTTACAAAAGCTAGAAACACAAGATACCCTTCCTAAACTACAGTACCTAATGAAATTGTCATAGGGCAGCTGTAAAGTACTTATTAATCGATTTTAGAGATTTCTAGATCTGTATAAATATGACTGATAAACATTTGTTTAACATCTACTATGTATCAAATATCTATAAATGTCCTCCTTTTTTCAGACATGTGAAGATTTTATATTTCCCTTTGTGTGGAATTTTAGAGTAAGGTTGGTTTCCACATCTAGGTTTCTTCTGCTTAGCAAAATAGATGATTACAATGACTTCTATACATCAGAGTGCTAATATTGCAGTCAAAAGTCAGCAGTACTGGTTTTACAATTTTTGAGCCAAGGGTCAATTGTCAATCTATATTTCATTTGGAAAACTTAATCTTTTATAGCCAGGCAATTTTTAATTTTTATTAATTGTTTAAGGTAAAATGTGTACATTGTATAGAATTCAAAAGAATCTTCCTTGATCTCTTGGCTGTCTAAATTTAGGGGATGCTATCATGCTTTGAAAACTAGGACTTAGTGTTTTTAGTTTTTATTTCAACTTCACTGAAGCAATTTCATGAAGAAAGTTATTAATTAGGTCCACAGAACCTTTGTCTTTAGAGGTGTCCCTTTCAAAGACCAAAGAACAAAAGTCAGTATCTACAATGAATATATGCAACGTCCCCTCAATATCAAATGGAAGGTTGAGAAAAAAACCTTTTTCAATCCCTTCCTTGTAACAGAGAATGAAAAGGTGATCTGTTCTCCCCAAACTGTAAAATGTATGTATTCCATTTTATTTACTTTTTATTTACTTTTTCTTTACATTTTCTTAACAACTTCTCCACTTCTGTAGATTTTTACCAATATAATAGCGAATGATTATCGCAAGAAAGCTTGGCATGTATTTCAAGAAATCATTTCTATAAACTAATAACCTCCTGACGTGTGTGCAAAGCAAGCATTTCACACTGGGGCCTGGCTCACAGCTGAGGACACACCTGACAGAATCCTGGTTTTAACCAGATCCATTCTCCCCAGAAGGGCCGACTGCGGGTCCCTTACGTACCTTGTGTATCATGAAAAAGGAAACAAGGTCCTCCAGGGACTTAATGACCAGCTCTCTGAGCTGGAGTGACATGAATGATGCAACAGAAGCAAAATATTCCTCAATGCTTCTCGAGGAGTCATAGTCGCTCTTGGGAGCAAAATGGACCCACTGCTCCCTCCGTGAGCCAAAAAGCTGGGCACAGGTGGGGATCCACCTGTAAGGACAGGAGGGCATTCATGTAAGAAGCTCTTCCGAGCTCTGAGAAATCCTCTTAGCCACCCACACCGCACTCTGCGAAGAGGCAGGTGGGCTCATTTCCCACTAAATAGCCTTGCAAATAGTTATTTCCATATTCCTGGTCACCTCACCTGCCAGTGCCCTTTTCCCAGGAAGAAAGTAATAAGATTTGAATCAAGAGGCTGTTCTTCCATTGGCAATACCCAAATGGACAAAGGAGGTTGGCGGCATGTCCTGCTGAAGGAGTCTAGAGTTCCTTCATTATAATCAGAGATGAGGGTAAAGGGGCATAAGGAACCAGAATGTTCTGTCCAACTTTTTTCTGGCCTCTAATTCAGACTTTGTAGCAGCAAAGGGAGAATGGGGAGAAAAGAATGGGAGGAGAAACTCCAGTGTGGCTGTGGCTGCTCAGAAGTTGAGAGTAGATATTAGACAACCAAAAGAAGACAGGGATGCTTCATTGCTCCTTTCTTCCCATGTCCCCAGTTTCTAATTCCCAGTGGGATCCACTGGCCTTTTCATCCTATCACAACTGCTCTCTGATTGCTAGAAAAGTATTATTCAGCCATCAGAGAAATAGTACTTACAGTTGTAGTCATGGAAGTAATAATTATGCTATTTACTGAGCAACTACTATGAGCCAACTTTTGTATATACATTTTCTCTGATAATAGAAATCCCATCAGTAGGTATTATTATCTCCATTTTACTAAGGGAGCTTCTCTGGCTCTAGATATAGTCCCATATGCATTTGCAAAGGGAAAAGGAATAGTCTAAGTGTCTGAAAACTCCCTAACCTTGAAACCTTGAGGCTGTTTTTCTGGACCATCTGAATATGTCATTCAAATGCATTATCCTGTAATGCAGCAAGGTCTAAAGGATTCCAGAGGGAGGGAATAGGAGTGGTACCCTCACAAGGAATGGTAATGAGAGAATTTCGAAAAGGGAGACTGGGAGTGAGGGGCAAAGAGCAGCTGGACGTGGAAGGAAGAGGACAGAGAAAGATGTCAGGGGAACCAGTTTTCATGTCAGAGAGTTTTCAGTCTTTACACTGCTGTGACACAGCCCCACCCTGAGGCCAGACACTGACTTGTTGAGAAGAATTTGGTGCGCCTCCATGCAGTGTTTCTGGATCACGTCCCGATATTCATGAGGCAGCAGAGGCAATTTTCCCGCCAGTAATTCTGCTGTTCGAACAAACCTGAGGTCTCTAAACCTGCCAAAGGAGAGGGAGAAACTTCTAAGCTAAAAGATGCTCAATAACAAATCCTGTAGACAGGTGCGAAGGGTGTCTGTTCTCATTATTCAATGAGAGGAACCGTAAGCAGGGAAAAACTAATGACAGTATGTCTGAAAACTCTGGGAGTCTGAGGAAGCTGTGGCTGGTCCAAAAGAACTCTTGCAAAGAGGAGATAAATAAGTAGACTCAAGAGGTGTTTGCTGAGCCTTCTGTATGCCTCACTCTGGATAACCCATCTGGGAGCAGGCCTTTGGCACCAAGTGGGCATCGGGCTTGCTGGAACCTGGGATATCAAACGGATGAATCAGAGTTCTTTGTAACACTGAGGACACGATGGACAGAGCCAGGTAAAGCACCATCGTCATTATCAAGTAGGTTTCACCCAAACCTCAATGTGGCCTCTGGGTGAGCTACTTGGGACAACTTGGAGGTCTGCTTTGGTTTGAGCAAAAAAACCCTATGGATGCACCTCTTTTAGTCCTCTAAGTCCTGCCACTGTGGGGGTGAGGAAAGGCCAGCCAGGGAAAAGAAATGAGAGTGTTCCCCATTACCAGGGGGGTCCTTTTAAAATCCAAGCTGGATCATATCACTCTGCTGGCAGCCCCCCAACCACTTCCCATTTCATAGTGAAAGCCCAGGACACACCAGGCCCCCTGCAGTCTGTGCCTTCTCTCTTGCTCCTCATCTTCCCCATCACCTCGCTGACCCCTCTCCTACCACCCTCCCAACTCACCCTGCTCCAGGCACACTCACTCCATCACTGTTCCTAGAACACCCCAGCACGCTACCGCTTGGGTCCTTTGCACAGGCTGTTCCCACTGCCTGCAGTACTTGTTCCCCTAACTCCCGCCCTATAACCATGTGTCCTGTGACACTCTCATCTTTGCCCGTTTCTCCTAGATCAATGGATGTCCCACTCTCTGCCACTCTCCCTAAGGCCTATTTTAGCTCCCAGGTCCACCATTCTCTTCCTGATGTCTACTCCATTCATTTATAAATCACTCCTTTAAATTATCACTGTCTGTCATTACTTCCCTTAGCTCATGTAAGAAATTGGAATAAGCCTGACTTTTCAGTGACCCTTGGTGTCTTTACTCTCCCACCAGGATTTGTACCTCCTCTTGAGGGGCCCACAGAAAACTTCCCCCTGCCCACTACAACTTCTGAGTAGATAAGCTAATGGTTATATGTGTCTATACAACTGACGAATGGATAAACAAATGTGGTGTAGCCATACAATGGATTATTATTCAGCCATTAAAAGGAATGTGGTACTGATAGATGCTTCAATGTGGATGAAGACTGAAAACATGTTTATGAGAGAAGCCACATACAAATGGCCATATATTGCATGATCCCATTTGTATGAAATGTCCAGAATAGGCATATCCATAGAAACAGGAAGTAGATCAGTGGTTGCCAGGGGCTGAGGGGAAGGGGCATGGGGAGTGACTGCTAACAGCTATCCGATTTATTTCTGGGGTAATACAATATTTTTGAATTAGACAGTGGTAAGAATTGCACAAATTTGTGAATATACCAAAAATTACCACATTATGTGTTTTAAAAGAGAGAATGCTATGGAATGAGTTATATCTCAGTTTTTAAAAAATGAAAGAGAAGAAAAAAGCGACCTCTGCCTCTTCTGGACTCCTGCAATTCCTGTGACCAATTCAGTCATGGGCAACTGAGAGGTCACTGCTGGCAGCACTGTGCTGGCATTGAGTTACACAAAGGAGTAAGACCCAAGCCCCCATATGCCTCAGAGGCTAGAGAAAGGCAAACAAGCATGCAATTATAATTTCGGGTGATGAATGTCCTAATGGAGGTAATGGTAACACTTACTGGGTGCTTACATCAGGCACTGTTTTAAGCACTTTGCATGTATTAAGTTATTTATTCCTCCTATCAACCCTATGAAGCAGGAACTCTCATTATCCCAAATTTAGAGACAAGGAAAGCAAGGCACAGAGAAGTGAAGTAACGTGCCCATGTTACTTATGGAACAGCAGAGCTGGGAGCTGGACCTGAGAAGGCTGCCTCCAAGTCGGTGCTCTTAACCAGGACACTCCAGTGCTCAGAGACAGGCCCCCAGAAGCACAAACGAGGGCCACCTAAGCCTGCGTGGAGAGTTGTCACTTGGAGTTGATGTGCACTTGCAGTCTCGGATTTTTGTTCTTTCATTTTGCCACAAGGGCAGGGGAGCTTCCACTGTGCCCAGCATTAACAGGCTCGCCTTCGTGTGGAAGCAATAAGGGGAGGGGATGGAAAGGGAGGGGAGGCATTTCTTACTCTGCAAACCACAGTTCTTTGAGGCACAGCATCATGGGGTTCACTGTGTGCAGATGCTCCTCATTCCACTTCTTGGCACTCCTGTAGACACTGTGCCAGGGCACGGGGGCCCGGATCACTCTTTGGGGAAATGTGCGGGGGATGCCCTCGATGAAAAGCCTCTTCCGCTCCATTGGGTCCATGAGGATGTAATCAACTGCAATAAAGACGCAAACACCCCGTGATTAACTCTGTCCATGTGCAAGGTCATGAGTAATCCCCTGGGTGTAACTCAGTGGGGGAAGTGCCACTCTGTTGATGTGCGTTTTCTTTCTGAAGATGTTTCATGGGAAGACGGAGTGTGACCTCACAGTTCAGAGCACTTAGACCCAGGGGCTGAGTCCTGTCAGGATATTTAGCATCACGCATGACAATGAACTCTTCTATTTGCTGATTTCTCATTAGTCATTAATTGATTTCCCACATCAAACTAGTTACACAAAGAATCAACACAATGGATGACACCAGATATGTATGAATGGAAATTTAGAGACCAAATGTTTTCCATGCTAAGGAAAGAAAGATTGGTAAAAGCTTCATAGAGGCAGTGATATTTGTGCTGGTTCATAAAGAATGAGTAGGAGTTTGTTAGATAGGAAAAGCAGGGATAGGAAAAGCAGGGAAGAATGTCAGGGACAGGAGGAACGGCATGTGAGGAGGTACAGTGCCCTTTTGCACGATGTGCTCAAAGAGCTGTGAGCTATACCATGGCAGAAATTTCCGGTACAAGTGGTGAAGTTAAAGGTGATAAGACTGGAGAAGGGAGTTGGAGCTGAAATTGAAGGACCTTCCATGATTATTCTTAGGAGCCTGGTTCTATATTACAGTAGACACCACTGGAAAGCTAGTTTGGAAAATAAAAATAACTAGACAACTTGATAAATATAACTGTTGTCCAGATAGACTAGCAAGCTGGGGAACTAATAGGATCACCCCTTATCCCTCTTTGACGTGTATATTTCCCAATGACCCACTGTGTGCACAAGACACTGGACTAAGGATGGAGGGAAGGGAGGATCAATAATACGTCCTTCACCATCTAATAAGGGAGCCAAGACTCATGAGAAATGAAATAACAATGCCAGTATTAAAGAACCATAGAGAAATAAAGGCAAGGGGGAAGTTCCAAAGCAGGCTGAGCTGAAAGCAGAGAAAAGAAGTGCTACAGATGTAGAGGATGGAGTAGAGAGAGAAAAACTACTTGAGAGGAGAGGCAGATGTTAAGCAAGATTTTAACGTTTAAGTAGGCTCTTGCCACTCACAGTGTTGCCCAGGGTCAGTTGCCTCTGCATCACCTGGGAACTTGTTAGAAATGTAAAGTCTAGGCTGCACCCCAGATTCAGATCTAATGAATCCGAATCTGCATTTTAACAAGACCTCCAGGTTATGGGGATGCCCATTAATGCAGTGATGGCAGGGGTGGGAGGCCTTTTGATTAAAGGTTAAATGATGTTTTTGGCATTTTCAGTGGGCTCAGGATGGTGACTGATAAAGTGAGAAGAAAGAAGGTGCCCTCCACATAGAAAACCCCCTGCCCCCTTTATGCCCAGCCTTACCAATGCTTTTCATGAGGCTGCTATAATAGTCCTTCTTCTTTTCCTCCACGAGGGCTGCCAGCAGGGGTTCCAGGGAGGGACTTGTTATCAGCATGTTAGAAATCAGCTTTGAGATCCGAACCATCACTTCGTCCTCCTCGGGGGCAATCATGTTTTTTCGGATTCCATTGGTCAGATAGTAATAGTATCTCTTTCATAAACAAATCATCAGCAAGAAAATGATTGTGATTGGTTAACTGTGTCCACCTGTCCCACCCATCAGCTCCCAAGGGACTCCTTTCACACAGCACCCATCCTCACCCTCCCCTGGCTAAAATCTTGCTTTCTGGGCTTGTCGCTTCACACTCATTGCAACGGGATCACTGACATAATCCCAGTGACTCTAGAGGACTCAACCAAAGCCAAAGAGATTTCAGTGGGGTATAAGGAAGGACTTGTCAAATGCCACACAAATAGGAACAGTGGAATGAGGACATAGGCCAGGGATGGAGCTAGCATATCTGGTGACCTTTAAGAAGAATGACAAGCTCCTAAAATGGAATCAAATAAGTCACCCTCCTAAACGGCAATGATCCCCTACAAAGCACTTTGATCCTGTGGCTTGTAACTGTCAGGGAGGGAAAAATCCCCAGAGTCCGAGGGAGACCTATGATAGTTATTCTAATTCAACCATGGGCTTTTCAGTTTAGAAAGCAACACAAACGAAACAAAAATGGCCAATCTGACCTGGTGATGTCAGGAAGTTTTGCTTATTTAGGATTTGCCTCTAAGCTGCTGGGTGGCTGAGTGGCTCTGGGAATGAATGAGTTGCTTCAGATGGATGAGAAGCTCAAAGTGTGGGGAAAGGGTGTGAAATCAGCTTTGCGTTTCAGTGCCAACTGTCTGGGCAGAAGAAGCTGCTGCTAGTAATTGCAGCTCACCCCTCTCCAACGTTAGTGGAAGCAGCTTATACAGGGCGGTATTGCCAAACTTCCCTGATTTTAAGAACTGCCTGAGTGCTGGGATGGGAGGGTGGAGCTCTTGTTAAAATGCAGATTCCCAGCCCTTCCTCAGGCAGGTAGGGGGTTTTAACAAGCACCCCAGGTGATCCTTAAATGTAGGCAAGTTTGAGAAAATGCTGCATAGCTCTTAAGAGCACAGAGACTTCAGCATCAGCCAGACCTGGTTTAAGTCCTAGTTTTGTCTCTTACTGTGCAAACTTGAGCACATTGCTTAATCATTCTATACACTCCAATTTTCACAACTGGACAAAGGGCATAAGCATAGTACCCAGGTCTTGGATAAGGTCAAGTAGCTAGAGGGTTAAGCATGGGATTTTGACAGTAGTACATACGCAGTCGCTATGAGTTTTTATTATTCATTTTATTATACACTATAAACCCACAAGCTGTTTTGCTCTGAAGTGTTGTTCTTTTAAGACAGGTTAGAAACTCAAATGTCTACCTAGAGCCAGGCAAGTAATGTTCATAAGTGAAAGTGGGCTGGACATAAGAAAATAACAAGGAATGGTGGGGACGGTGACAAACTGGAGAGTGTATTTCTCATTTAAAGGAGGTAGCTACTGCTCAGTGCCAAATATTTTAACTTTTTCAAAAGAAGTTGGAAATGTAGCTTATGTGAGACTTCCCTTGTTTTTAAAACACATCTATAGGCCAAATTCAGCCAATGATAAACAGAGCTGCCAGATGAAATATAGGACCCTTTGGGATGTACTTATACTAAAATTACTCATTGTTTATCTGAAATTCAAATTTAATTATGTGTCCTATTTTTTTGTTTTGCAAAATCTGGCAGCCCTAGCCTATGGGCCACCATTTTTGCAATCTATGTTCTCAGAGGACCCAAAGGCACCAATTTCCATGACTCAGCAGAGCTCATCCATGACTCAGAGAACTCTCTCTCTTGCACACATGCACACACACACACACCCTCATTCGGTAAGTGTGTCATGGAGTTCGAACTTTGGTATTTTTAAAACATTCCCCCAAGGATTCTGCTGTTCTCCTCCTGTTTTGAATCACGGAGATGCCAAGAGTAATAATACTCAGCAAACCGAGGGAAAGGGGGCAACAAGAAGGTACCTCCAGGTCTGCTTCAGATGGTTTGCTTTCTTTCCTTTCTGTTTCCATCTCCTGCTGTAACATCACATCAATCTGCTGTTCTGGACTCATTGGTCTGCTTCCTGGGAGTACGAAAGATGTCTCTATCTCCTTCTTCACATGTGAGGAGGTCGAGGTGTCGCAGACCAGCTTGATCCTGAAAGGTAGACACGGCTCAGCCCTCGGTGCTTGGTTCTGCACGAGGTGCTGTGGTGCCGGCCTACTTTCTCCAACCTGACCAGGGTGGTTCCGTGGTGGAAGCCCCTCTCCTGTGTGTCATCTAACGGCATGTGTGTGTACTTCAAAGATGACCCTAAACACTGATCACCTCACGAGTATGTTAGGATGATTCTGTCCAGTTGTTTTATTTTTGTTTAGAACCTAAAAAAATGTTTTTGGATTAAGGGAATTGGTGGACAAAAACATGAGTCCACTGGGTATCTGGGAATGCCTTGAAGCCAAGAAACAGAGTGTGGCTTTAAGGAAACCACAGTCTCCTGGGGTTCAGCCCACTGTTCTGCGCTCTCTGGTACCCAGTGACACCTTACCCAGAGTAATCCTCTTTGCTTCTGGAAGAGAACTTCATTTTCTTCTTGATGGGCTCTGATGAACTTTTAGTTGCTGGAAGAATGGAGAAGAAAGACCTCAGTGATGGGCAGTGGCCTTGGGCCATTCTCTGCCCATAGGGACACAAATCTTGGAACAGTCGTGGAGCCAAATGAGGGGAGTATACACCCGATGGAGGGATGAGGCAGAAGATGTGGGCTCCAGTCCCACGTGCACCACTAATTATCATGTGACCCTGATGAAATGATTTCATCACTCCGGGCCTCAGCTTCCGCAACTGTAAAGTGGGGATGAACACACTTTCCACTCACCTATACCTTTGACAAGCACTAATAACTGCTGGCTCCATGTGCTCTCCATCATGGTACACTCTATTTTCTAAACCTTGGTTGTATTATTGTTTAATATTTCTCTTATAAATAGACTCAGGCTTTTAAACTTAATGTATTTATTTTTAAAGGAAATTTTATATGACTATCACAAATAGAAAAACAATAAGTATTAATTGTTGTAAATAGAAAAATCAATCTCATTTGCAATAAATAGAAGGTCACTACAATTAAATTCAATAAATGATACAAAACTATGAAACTTTGGCTAGATGCTGTTACTTGCTAAAGTCTCTAGTCTGAAGAAATTAGTAAGTAACAGAGAAATGTTAAAGACATACTGATACTATAAATTGACACTTTGAGGGAATCGGGAGAATTGAAGATTACTAGTTAAGATGTATCTTGTATTCATACTTTGAATTTCTCAATATACTCTAAGCACAATAATAGAAAAAATACTCTTTAAAATTCGAAAAGACATTGCATTGTTCAACAAGATGCTCTTCTATGTGAGCTAGCATGAAGTAAAAGCCATAACCTCAGCTTCTGGGTACAGAAGAAGGTAGAAGTAGTGAGGAGTTTGATACCTGGGGAGTAACAGAATCCCAAAACACATCATGACGTGGGGAACTAAAACCAGGCTCACAGCATCCTGCCAGGACTGAAGCAAGATGGCACCCAGTGATCCCCATCTTCCTGGTATCATGCTTTTGTGTAATTCCCTCCCCTTGAGTTGTGGGCTGGACTTAGTGACTTACTTCTAATGAACAGAATATGGTAAAAGTGATAGGATGTCATTTCCAAGATTAAATTTCAAAACTGACTGTGATTTCTGTCATGCTGGCTCTTTCTCTCTCTCTCTCACTCTCTCCCTCACTCACTCTAAGGGAAGCCAGAAGCCATGTTGTGATCTGCCCTATGGAGAGGCCCACAGGGTGAGGAGCTGATGTCTATGGCCAAAAGCCAGCAAGGACCTGAGGACGTGAGTGAGCTTGGAAGAGGATTCTTTCCTAGCTGCCTTGAGATGACTGTGGCCCTGGCTGATGCCTTGATTGCATGCTTGCAAGAGCCTCTGAACCAGAATCACCCAGTCAAGCCATGCCCAGATTCCTGACCCACAGAAACTGTGAGATAATAAATAGTGGTTGTTTCAAGCCACAAAGTTTTGGGGTGATTTGTTATGCAATAACACAAGTACACAGGACAGTGCCTGATATATGTAAATGGTCCATAAATGTTAGCCATTACAATCATTTCCATTTCACAGATGAGGAGAGTGAGGCTCTATGAAGTTCTCCAAAGTTATTAGTAGCTACAGCAAGAGCGGGAGCCAGGACTAGAACTTAGAAGTAGAATTTTCGCTCCAAAGCCCCATTCTACAAGGGTATGACATACTGCCACAAGTACCTGATGACTGCCCTTGACCGGTCCTATCCCTATGGATATTGATGGTGGCTGGCTGGTAGACCTTCATGAGGTCTTTCATCTTCAGGTCCTGGGCCATCAAGGAGTAGTTGTTGGCAATGGAGTCACTGGGCCCACGGTGGTGCTGCTGCTCTTTGAAGGGTACAGCCAGGGTCCACGAGGTGCGTTGCATCAAGGGCGGATAAAAGCTGTGTGACATGACAGTCTATGAGGGAAGAAAAGCAGAGTGAGGCATGATGAGGAGGCATCTCTCAACGAGCCTGGGCTCTGCTCCCTCTGAGACCCATGAGATTTCCTCATGCTGTCCCTTCTACTTTCTGCACACTCAGTGGAAATACTTTCCGAAAAGACACCAATTGTACTTCTCTGACCACTGCAAGCATGACTTCTGATGTCAGGGATAATAGCTTGCCTTCAACAACAACTTTGTGAGGCAGGTAATTTATATCTCTTGCCTTTATTCCTTATGGATATGGCTATAAGGTAGGTATAATCACCCTCATTTTATAATGGAAAATGCAGAGGTTCAGAGAGTTTAGATAACACAGCAGGTAAGTGGGAAGGCCAGATTCTAACTCACCTTTGTGCAATGGCATAGTTCTGCCTCCCACACTGCTGCAGCCACTTCTGGTGGCAAAAGTGACCAAAGCCCACTCGTTAAGTCTGACTTGTCACCCACTAGTACCTGCCAAATACCTAGAGAGGCAGGGTGTGTTCTTCACCTTGTCACCCTCAACAGAGGAGCTGGCAGTCACGTGTGCATACCTGATAGAGTTCAGACGGTTCCTCATTAGCAGAAGCAGGCAGAGGGGGCAGCTCTGGCCGCCTCTGGGAGCAGCTCATGTGATGTATCGAGTCACTTTTGGTGATCTGAGGGAAATGGAAATAAAGCCACCCTTCAGGAATTAGGAAGGCTTTCTAAGCCTCTGAGTTGGTAAGGACTAAAGAGGTTCCCAGGAAAGGTGTTAGGCACAGCGTTCTGCCCACAAAACACCCTCCTCACTCCCATATATTATGTTTCACTTTTTTAAAAAACTTAACAGATAAAATTGTATGTATTTTTATAATGTATAACATGATGTTTTGAAGTATATATACACATTGTGGAATGACTAAATCTAGCTAATTAACATATGCATTACCTCACATGGTTATTATTTTTATGGTGAGAATACTTTATGTTTTTCAAGAATACAATATATTGTTAACTGTAGTCACCATGCTGTACAATTGATCTCTTGAACTTATTCCTCGTAACTGAAATTTTGCATCCTGTGACCAACATCTCTCCAATGAAACCCCGTTTCACTTTTTAATCATCAATCTGTCTCTCCTCTGGTGTCTCCTCCTTAGCTTCCTTTCCATGAGTAAATATGTATATTTTTCTCCCTGGGGAGAGCCCAAATTCTGAGGGCATCCCCAGTACCCTACCCTTGGGTGTGATTAAACGGGGTGACTTTAAAAAACTGACTCTTGCATTTTCATATATGCAAAGTTCCAAAGAGGAATTTGCTCAGGCAGTGGCATTGCATTTTCTGTGTATTTAACTCACACATACGCAACTCTGTGTGCTTCCTATGGAAAGGAAAAATATTATTTACTCTGTGGGTGTTTGAGTCCACCATTCCATTCGGTGAGTTGTATACTTGGGAGTGAGCCTCAGGTAGGTGTGAACTTGTGGCTCCCATGGTCACTCTCAGGTCCCAAGTGCCTTTCCACCTCTCCCGAACACAGTCGAATGTGATTGCATTGTTGAACGATATCGCAGGTGTTTTTGTCCTAAGACTCGGCCCCTATGTGCAAGACAACTACTTCATCTGGGGCTGTGATGGAGAAGTTGCAATGTGTTCCAACAATGGAAGAAAAACTGCTGGCCTGGACTTATTGAGAGGTATTGCTGTACAGCACCTTCAAGATGGTTTGAGGGATTTTCTACGGCCATTTTGGCTCTCTGTGATTTTCACCTTAGGCAATGACTTTGGACTTAACTCCTGTGTAAGATGGAACATTATCATATTGATTCGGTTTATTTGGGCCCATAAATTATGTCATGTAAGATAATTGGTGGGGAGTGGGACTCGGGGAAGGGAACATGACTCAGCTATTAGCTCCCTCCCCTCCCTGCCCCCACACACCCCAACCCCTCACTGCTGACTCAAATTAACCCCTATTGTCTACCCTGGAGCACTTTCCTCATTATACAACAAGAACAATAACATCTACTATTATTCCAAATTATTATGTGCCAGGTGCTGTACAACCTTATGAGATTTTTTCATACACATAATCTAGCTGAAGAAAGTAAGGCTCAGAGAGGATAGGTAACACACTCCAGCCACATAGTAGGCTGACTTGTCTTCTAAGTCAGTGGCTTTTAAATACACATCACTCTACATCCCAACACACTGGAAATGGCAAGTACCACTTACGTGGCAAATTACTTTAAAAAGGTTGTAAACCTTAAAATTCAACAAAAACATGTAGACTCATAAACAAAGATGCATACTGAGCCTGGGATCTTTTAAAACATAGAATGGGTTCACTGATACAATAATGGCCTAATTCAGTGGTTCTCAAGAATTGTGGCAGATCAGAGTCACTAATGGAAGTTTATTAAAAGTAGAAATGATCGAGCCCTACCTCAAACATGATTCATTTGAGAACCACTGACCCTGTTGTTTTCATCTTACAGAACTTGCTATGCTCCTTTAAATGACTGTGTCTGATTTTCTGCTCTTGACTTCAATTTCACGGACCCAAGAATCGACCAATCAACCCTAAATGCCTCCTCTTTCGCAACTGAAATTAATACCAGATCTGCACTGAGTTGGGGAACAAAATGGAAAAAATCCCAGCATCAACCTGAAAGCAATCTAGTCATCCAAAGCAGGTACTATTACCACCCAAAGAAGATTTTGACAACAGTACTTTAAGGGGTTTGAAGTCATTCACAATTTCTTTCAGAACCCCAGACATAAGACATACCGATTGATAAGTTAGAGCTGTCTGTATTTCGTCTTTGCAAGCAAGAAGGTTTTGTGGTCAGTGGAAATCTTTCCTTTGGCCTAGTTTTTAAATCTGTTTCAAATAAAAATCTTCATTAAAAGAGCAACAAGCAAACACTACACAATTCGGACATCTTGAGTAAATTACAATAAGAATGGAAATGAGTAGTTATAACCAAAAAAACCCTGACCTTCTGCAGTCAAGAAAGATGTTAACATTATTCATGTCTTGGCTTTCATGCTTCTGCTGATTTCAGCCCTGACACCAAATGGGGATTTATTCAGCCCACCAAAAGAAGTGGAATATAGCTCTATGTACATAACTGGCTCTACTTCAATTTTAGTCCATGTTGTACAGTGTGGCTGGTCCCAGCCCTGGTTGCAGTGCAAAGCATGTGACACAGATCTGACCAATCAGAATACTCCACCCTCCTAGATGCAGTGATTGGTTCAGGGATAAGCATGTGACCCAAGCTGGGTTAATCAGAGGATTTCCTGACACCTTCACTACAGCTACTGAGAAAGAGGAACTCTCTTTTCATTAGGGTCACTACTATGAGGATGTTTATGACTAAAGCCATCTTTGCCTTGTGTAGGGGAAAGTCTGCCTTAGAATAAAGCCAACACAGAAGAAAGCAGAGCCACCAGAAGAAGGAGAAAGACTCTCAATGGCTTCAGCTGGATCCCTGTAACCAACGTGGATTTCCTGGTTACTTGAGCCCATAGATTGTTTTGGATTTGAGCCAGATAGAATTATATTTATGTCACTCCATACAGAGCAATGGTCACCCAAGGGATGGAGACAGAGGCAGCTGAGTCAATAACAGATTTCTCAAGTTAGAGAACAGAGATGCTGCATCATGCAAGCAGACAGAGAAGCTCTTCTTGGGATAATGAAGAAAGCAAACCATGAGCATTTCTAGAACACAATGGAGAGAAGCAGAACCTTCGCAGAAAGAAGTTAAACTTTGAGCTAGGTCATAGGCACAGACTAAGACTTATATGCAAAGAGTCATAAATAACATGATAGCAGAAAATATCTCAGTCAGTGGCACAGGAAAATGTAGGACACACGCAAGATCAGCAGATCTAGAAATCAATTCCAGAGCAAAGCAAAGAGAGTTTTCTTAAAATCTCTGGCTAAGAATTCCCTGTGGCACCTTCAAGGGGAGGAGACAGAGATTCTCATAAGACCTGCCTGGCTATGCAAAATGCTTTGTTGAAAATACTAATGCTTAAGTCTTCTCTTTGGTAAATTTAAAGAAGTTTTCATTTCAGGGCATGGGCTCAGTTATTATCGACAATTCCACTTTAATTGTATAATGCTTCAAGTTAAAATGCTCCTCTGGACACTTCAGTGTATGGCAACTTGGTGGATCTTAGCTTTTACAAATAAGATTCTGGCACCTAGATTAGATAGAACTATTAAGTTTCGGGCAGCTTATTCCTGATTACATGTGATGTTTGCATGTTCTTCATGGAGGCAGTTCCCAAGTGCTCATCTGAGGACTCTTACACCAGAATCACTTGGGTCTTAACTGAAAATATAGATTCCAGGGCCCCACTCCAAATCTTCTGGATCAGAATCTGGGGGTGGGAACCAAGACTCTACATTTTTAAGATGGTCTCCAGAATATTCTAAAGTGCGGCCACAGTTGAAAACTGTTTTTTGGAATATATGGTCTAATGGCTTTGGAAGGGGGAAAAAAAAGGAAGAACAGGTATCTATTCCTAAATTTTTCACAGCAAAACTTGAAGATACCCAAAAGTCTAATTCAGCAAAAATATTTCAAAGGAGACAACATAAAAATGTGATTAACACTCTTGTTCAGTTAAGGGAATCTAACATGCCAGTTGGTCTATGATCAAAATATCCCCCTTCCCACATATTCCCAAATTCCCTACACATTAAAAATACAAGTAAAAAAAGAAACATGCCTTAAAATTCACACCTACCTTCTGAGATGAGCAATCCATTTTGCTCATGGTGTCCACTCTAATAGAGGCTATTTTAAGAATGAATAAAGAGCTCTCAGCTTCTCCAGGGATGCTCCTCTCCTATCCAGTAGCTCTGAAATTTACACCTCCTTATAGCATAATGGGGATGACACCAACAATGGAACTTTGCAGAAGTTCTGAAAACTCCGTTCACAGGGCTCCCTCTCCGAAGTCATAGACTTCAGCTCCCTGAGGAGTTCCCTGGTAGAAGAGGAGAGAAAGGGAAGCTAGACAATGAAGGGGGAGCCTTGGGTTTTTGCTGGGCTTGTAGCTCCAGTTCCTGCTCTTCCTGAAATGGCCATTCTTCCTTTCCCTTGAGTGGCTCCTCTCTTGGAACTGTTCCAGAAACACAATGAGTTCACCGTAGAGGAAAAATTGAAGGAGAGTTACATATTAACACAGAGAAGAAGGAGAAATAACCCCTCCAAACAATACCCTGGCAGCCTGCATTCTTCTCCCTCCTCCTCCCTGGGCTGCTTTAACACTGGCAGTGCTTTACGCAGGCCCTGGGCACAGTAACCAGGCCTCAGCGTCGGTTGCTAAGAGAAGGAGGGGACTCTGCAGTGCCTACATACAAGACTGGGCTTGACCTAGCTCCACATCCTGGTGTCTCCCTTTGCTGGAGGCCCAGATGGACAGCAGGAAGTGTTGGTAACGGAAGGGAAGATGGGAGGGTGTTTAGCAATGTTCCAGGAACACGAAAGTGAGCGGCAATAAGAGACCATGCCTTTGGAGAGCTCTAAAAGCACATAGCATGGTGGTTAAGTCCTTGGGATCTACAGCTGGACAGGTCTGGCTTCAGATCCTGCTCTTCCCCTTAATTGGCTATGTGGCTTGAGCAAGTTGCTTAATCTAAGTGTCCTTTTTGTCTGTAAAATAGCAATCATGTGAGTACCTACTTCATAGCATTGCTTTGAAGGTTTAATGAGATAATGCTTATAGAGCAATTTGCACACAGTAGAAGGATGACCAACTTATCCCGGTTTTCCTGGGACTTTCCCAGTTTTAACACTGTAAGTCCTGCATCCTGGGAATCCTCTCAGTCCTGGTAAACTGGGATAGTTTGGTCATCTGACCCAGTGGGCACTCTATAAATTTTGTGGCTAACATTGATATTATAATAAACACAGAATATTCAAGGTACATGTTACATGGTCACTTTGAAAGTTCTCTCAAAACCAAGTTAGGCTTATTGAACTCTTTTTGGGTGTCATGCTTGCATGTCTATTTTTTCACTCAACTTTCCCCAGTACTCCATGATGTTCCATTTTAAGGACGAGGAAATGCAAACTGAAATGCATACAACCTTCCCAAGTTGATGCAACTCATTCATAAGTAGGGCTGATACAATTAGAAGCCTGTCCTGATGACTCCGAGTCCACTGCTCTGTCCATAAAGTACCTGTCCAGAACACAAATATTTCTGAGATCCTATAAAAAGAATTGCATACCACCAAGGACTTCCATTTCCCCCTTTTCTCACTCCTTCCTCAAAGTTGGGCTCTCCATACTTTCAAAATAACCCCAAGCTTTCTCATCTTGTATTTGTGCTCTCTACTATAAAGTCTATATACAGTTTCAAATAGTGTTTGGAATAAATGAGCCAGTAGAAGGGTTTGGGACTTTGGTTTAGACAGACATGGGGTTATTACCAGGCCACCTATGCTGGGTGTGAAACCTCATGTCCCACAAATAACAGCAACTGTAATCCAATCAAGTAAAGAATTAGAGTGGGCCTAGTATGGTGCTAATGAACACTGTGACCTTGTGTCTGAATAGGAGACATGCTTCCATCTGAAATTTAGTGTGCTTTAAGTCTACCTGTGTTTGAAAACAAAACAATAACAATAGGCTTCCATTTATTGAGTATATACTATCTGCTGGGACTGGTGCTAAGTACTTAACGAACGTCATCTCTCTGAATCTTCTCAACAACCCAGAAGATAAATATAATTATCCCAAGTTTTATGATTGAGAAAACTTACACACTAAACTAACTAACCTGCTCATAGTTACTCAGCTAGGTCAGAGGCAAAGTTGGAACTTTAACCTGATTATGGAATCTGTTATATGGCTTTAACAAAAAACCTACATGTAGTCTGAGAAAAGGTGAAAAATAAATATAATGCCTGCCAAAGAGAATGAAAGCGCCACCCCCTGCCCCAGGCCACCTCATCTGCACTAGAATTGTTTGCTGTCTAACTTAACTTTCTGTTCAATGATTCCTAAGAGAGGACATGGGCCTCAAGTTCCTCAATCCTCTCAACTCTGAGTGTATAGGTTTGCCAGATAAAACAGGCTGTGCAGTTAAATTGGAATTTCAGGTAAATAATTTTTTCAAATGAAAGATTTTTTTGGTATAAGTATGTCCCATTCATTATTTGGGACATACTTGTACTAAAAAGTTATCTGTTATTTACATGAAATTCCAGTTTACCTGAGTGTCCTGTGTTTTTATTTGCTAAATCTGGCAATGTAGGGAAGAGGGATCAGCTGGGTTCCAGGTTGTCCCTATCTCTGTGGTATTAACACTTTAGGGTCTCAATCTGTTGCTGGGAAATTTCCACACACTTCTATTCAAAGCCCAGTGCTCCTGGCAGATCTTTACTGAGGCCTAAAATAGTTGCTTAATGAGAACAGGTCTTAGTCAACTGTGGCTGCTATAACAAAGTACCATAGACTGGGTGGCTTGCAGACAGCAGACATTTTGTTCTTACCATTCTGGAGGCTGGAAGTTTGCAATCAGGGTGTTCAGCATGGTTGGTTTCGAGTGAGGGCCCTCTCCCAGGTTGCAGACAGCCAACTTCTCACTGTATCCGCACATGGTGGAAAGAGGGCAACAGAACTCTCTGGGGTCCCTTTTATAAGGGCACTAATCCCATTTGTGAAGTCACCACCTTCATGACCTAAATCACTTCCTATATGACCACATCCTAATTCTATCACATTGGGGGTTACGTTTTCAACATATGAATTTGGGGGGAACACAAACATTCAGCCCATTGCAGCAAGGAATTATGGAAAGGCATGGGAGAGGCTGCATGTGGATTTATTTTACCAATCTATTGACTGTTCATTGAGTGCCAAGTCCTGCTGTGGAGAGATGCTAGGATCACAGCCATGTGGGAATACATGATGTGGTGGAGGAGGCACAACACAAGGACAAGCAAAACCTGCCTAGCCCCACAAAAATGCCAGAGGGGGGAGGAATTAGAAGATTCACAGAGGCACCCCTAGATGGCACCCTTAAACAAAAATCCCAGTGGAAGCCCCAACTCAGCTTTCCAAAGCAGCCTCTATCCAAGGAATGACGCTGGCAGTGCTTCATTCTAAGAGGAAAAAATAAAACACCTTTTCTGGATGAAAAGAGCTTTCATCATATTGCAGCTGAACAAAGTGCACGAAGCTAGTCAAGGTTGCCTAAAACTTAATAATTTAGGGACACTTTTCTGTCGGTGATCTCCGATCCCCACCATCAGCTCGTCTTTTCAGCTGTTGTGGAGGAGTTAGAGCAGGCTCCTTTCGTTTATTATAATCATCACCCCCAAGCTTATTTCTCTGTCCATCAGCCCGGTTATTTCTAGAAATATTAGGAAGTAGAAGTAATAATACCATCAAATATTTTTGAGCCCCTACTATCTGTCTAATAGGTGCTAAGTTCTTTATAGCCATTACTTCACCAGTCCTCAGTACAACCCTGTAACTGCTTCTCTCTGTATCTAAAGAGCTGTTCTCCAGGTTGCTATGGCCACAGGCACAGAGGAGAAGTAGGCCAGGGCAGCTCCCTCCCTGGAAAGGGCCTGAGACCTGTGCAGTAACAGACCAACGCTCGAGCCTCTCTCTCTCCCCATTTTACACATGAGGCCATGCACAGAGAGGTTACTCTGTCACACAGTAAGAGTCAGACCTGGGACCACAGCTCAAGACTGACCCCAGCCCATGGTCTTCACCAGTTTGCTCTATGGCAGTGGTTTTCATGGGGGATGATTATGCCTCCTGAAACATTTGGCAATGTTTAGAGACATTTTTGGTTGTCACAACGGGGTGTGGGGTGGGGTTTATTAATGGCATCTAATGGGTAGAGGTCAGGATGCTGCTAAAATCTTACAATGCACAGGAAAACCCAGAAACACAGAATTATTCCGTCCTAAATGTCAACAGCGCTGCTATTGAGAAGCCTCGCTATGGTCTGGATTTGGGGCCAGGAAACATGGGTTCCTTCTCTGACCTGGATCCTTACAAACTGAAGGATTTGGGTTTATCTCGTCTCTCACGCTCTCGACTTTTTCATCTATAACATGGAGATACTAATCTAATCCCCCTCTAAGGATCTCACGGGCTCATGACACTTGCATTTGAGGAGTCATGGTTACCACTTCCAGTCAGGGTGGTGGTACCTCATCACTGTGTGTCTTGAACTCCAGGGGTGCTTTCGGAGAGGCTGGTTTTGGGTATTCAGGAGAGGAAGTCCTAAGACCTTTCAAAAACTCATTCTCAGCTGCCAGTCCACCTGTCTCCGAGGTGGCCCGAACGCTCTCACTCTAAACCTCTCGGGGCTTGTCCAGGAGGCTCCAAGAGTCTGTGGGAGCGAGCGGCCCTTTGGAGAATCCATGGCGCGGCGGCTTGCTGAGCGCAATGCTTGAGGCCGCTGGCGGGAAGAGCCGGGGCGGGGCCGCGGGCGGAGCCTGGGGAGGGGCGGAGCCGAGCGGAACCCTGGGAGGAGCCTGGGGGGAGTCGGGACGGAGCCGAGCGCAGCACGGAGCAGGGGGCGGAGGAAGCTGCTCCGGCTCCCGCCCTGGCCGCGCCTTTCTTCCTCCTCTTGCTCCTCCTCCTGCCTCCTTTGCTCCGCCTGGAGACGCGGTGGGTGCAGCGCGGCCGCTACGACCAGGTGAGAGCTCTAGGCTGGGGGGTTCGGGGTGCCCCGGCTGGCTAGGCCCCCTCGCCAGGCGGGAAAGTGAAGGAGCGCTGGGGCGGCGGCTTGGGAGCACAGTGGGGGCCCACGGCTGCAGCCCTCAACCCCGGGGTTAGTGATGGGGATGGAGGGCGGAAATCATGCTTTTGAGTCACGGGGATGCGGCCGGGCGCGGACGAGGAGGCAGGATTCATCCCCATCCCCAAATGCACACTCATTCCCCCACCCCTCAGCACACACTACACTAGATTCGGTGAAAGGGTAGCTAGCTCCAGCCCACCTCGAGACCGTGCCCCTTCTGGGGAAACCTGGCTGGGAAGACGTCGTGTCAAACCTCCTCCCTAGGATTATTGAAAAATGGGCGCCCTCCTCTCCAGCCAGTCCTTTTCTACCGAGGTCCCCTTCCCCGTCACTGCAAAGATGAGAGCTGCAAGTACCAAAGGCGGATTCTTCTCCCCAAATTAATGACAAGGTACTCGACTCTCCCCAGGGTTCCCATTTCTCTCAGCCTCTGCCCCTCTTGGGCGCGGAGCTCCCTCTCCACCTGCGTCACACCCCCTCCCTCCTCCCCTTGCATCCCCCGGCCTTTGAAGCCTGAAAGACCGGGCGCAGATGGGGAGGGGGCGGACGGAGTAGGCCCCGCGGTTCCCTTCCCCCAGCCGGAGATGCGGCCCCTCCCCCTCCCAGCCGGAACGTTCGGGGCAGCCGTTTGCCCGGTAGGCGCGGGGGTGCGTGAGCTGGAGGTTTACTTGGAGCCTCGGAAGGCGAGGAGCGGGTTGGCTGGAGTGGACTTGGCTCGGCCCCCAGGCGCGGAGGAGGCGGGGACCCCTAGGCTGCGCGGAGTCTGCGCCTTCCCTCCCGCCTTCGCGCCTCCGGAGACTGCTCCGTGCCGGGGAGTCCCCTCCGAGGAGTAAGTGAGTGACTAGGGGGTCTTGGGCATTGGCAGCCAGGTAGACGCATTTGACGGCTGTGGCCGGTGGCATTCTCCCCACGCTCGCCCCGGGCCGACTCCCCAAACCGGTCTGGGTGGCACTTGGTTTTCCCAGGCCAGAGGAGACCTGTGAGGGAAACTGGGCTTGTTTCTGCCGGCTGTTGACATGAGATTAAGAGAACTGAGTGCTGGCAACGTCCCAAGTTCAGTGTCTATGCCCGCTGCAACTTTAAAGACAGAATGTGGAGTGTGTTTCCTGTTTTACAAAAGGGAAGTAGCAGAGAGAGGATCTCCAGCTAGGGCGATTAAAATGTGCTTTAATTAGCATACTAGTCCCTGTAGGTCTTAGTAGATAAATCCCTCCTTGTCCCCACCAACTCACGTGTTTAGCATGTGGGATATTCAATATGGTAAATAGATGTGAGGATTTCTCAGTTAATTTTGGCCTCTGTGGCAATCTTTGAAGCATTTGTACTGGAGATCAGAAGGTTAATTGTAAGGGAGAAATGGAAAGAATAGCTCTGTGTCCAGCCTGACAGTTGTTCTGGAAAATATTAAATAAGAAAGGTGTATTTTTTTATTTGAAAACTCAACAAGGGTTAAAAAATATGTCTAATTTAGCAAATTGTCTTTATTAAAAATAAATAAAAATTATGTGTGATTGAGACAGTCCTGGACATTCCAGGCTGTTTAGTCACAGTATAATTGTGGCAAGATCTGCCCCTGAGGTGGGGCTTTTGTTAGGGGAAAGGGACTGACCCACAAGTAAATAGAGAATGATTTATGGCATAACATAGTTGGAAGCCAACCTGTCCAGTAATAAAGAAGAGAAATCGGCCAAGGTCACTATTGTAGGAGAAGGGCTTTGTAGGGGGGGAAAAAGGCAATGAGACTTGAAATAGTGTATTTAGCTTTCTTGCTTTCTGTATGTTCTTTTTAGCATTTTGTCAGGCTAAAAAATGAATATAAACTCTCAGGTAATACTGTTAACATTTTGTTATATGTCCTTCTAGATCTTTTGCTATGCAGTATATATTAACATATAAATACATGTGTGTATGTAACAAAATAGAGTATTTTATAATCTTTTTTTTAAAAAACCGTGGACATCTTTTCATGTCACTAAATAAATATCCACACCATCATTTATTTTAATGACGAATTTATCATTATTTAACCAATTTCCTCCTAAATGGAAATGATAGCTGCTAACTGTCCTCCTAATGGACAATTTCCTTCCATTGTTTTGCTAGTCATTATATATTATCAACAGGGATGCAATGCACATCCTTTGGTACATTTTGAGACCTGTTTGTTTATTTCTTTTGTGTTCCTGGAAAATAACTTGCTGGATTAAAGTGTGTGCAATTTGAAGTTTTGATAAATACTGCCAAGTTACCCTCAATCTGCATGCCCACCACCAATGTGTGAGGATAGTACAAGCTCTTGTTGAATTAACTGAATGGAGACCTTACTAACGGTTTTTGTTTCCTCCAGTGACAGCAAACAACAGGGAGACATGAGAAGTTGGACCACATGCTGCACTGGAGAACTTAGTGGTAGAAGAATTAATCCCCAAAGAGATTGAAGTGAGTTTCAGGATGACAAAAGAGGAACCCCCGAGTACCACAAGGGACTTGCAGGAGCTGCAGAAGAAGCTGTCTTTGCTGATAGAGTCCTTCCAGAATAACTCAAAGGTCAGTTTCCAATCACTATGTATAGTAGAAAATCCCCAAATAACACTAGCATAACCAAGATAGAAAGTTATTTCTTTCTCAAATGGAAAAGATCGGGATGTAAGTCAGGAATTTTTCTAGCTCACCACCCTGCCATGTCTAAGTTGTGACCTTCAAATTCATTGTCCAACATGACTGCAAGAGCACCAGCCATTGTATCCATATTCCAGGCAATAGGATAGGAGGAGAGGGTGCAAGAGAGATTTGTAAGCCACTTCCTAATTAAGGAGACTTCCTGGAAGTCACACATAATACTTCCAATTATATCTCATAGGACAAAATTTAGTCAGATTACCATGCCTAGTAGCAAATGCAATTCTTAGGCTGTATAAAGAACAGTCTGTGCCACAGATATCATTTGTTTTGTATCGTTTTTAAATTTGTCTTATCTGTTACCCTGAAAATGAGGGGCCAAATCCTGTGTTGAGATTCAAGTCCAGTATTCCTCTAGAAATCCAGTGTCCAACAGAGATAGGATCTGAGCCACCTATGTAATTTAAAATTTTCTAGACATTTTCATGTCTTTGAAAAGTGAAAAGAAACAGGTGAAATTAATTTTAGTAATGTATTTTATTTAATGTAATATATCCAAAATATTATCATTTCACATTTAATCATTATAAAAAATTATTAATGAAATTATTAATGAAAAAAGTTCTTACCTTTCTTTTTGTACTAACTCTTTGAAATCTAGTGTGTATTTTACACTTTCAGCATATTTCAGTTTGAGTTAGTTGCTTTTCAGGTATTCAGTAGTCACTCAGTGGCAAAGGGACTTGAGATAGTATTTCCACTTTCTTGCATATTTGTCTTTATTGCTTTCTTTTATGTACCTTTCAGCATTTTGTCAGGGGAAAAAGCTTTCAGAGGTGGTACTATTAACATTTTGTTGTATGTCATTCTCGACTTTTTAAAAATGCAGTATACCCATCAAAATACATATATATATGTAACAAAATGAAGTATTTTGTGATCTGTTTTTGTATCGTGTAGCACACTTACACTAAGGGCTACTTGAGGAGATACTTCTTTGTGGTCTGGAGCAATATATTCCACGGAGATCTTTTCTGGACTTACTCCAGAATGTATCTGGCACTCTTTATGGATTTATCAAGTTATTTTTAAACTAGACAAGCAGCTTTCTAAGTCAGCTGACTGAAACTCTTCTTTAAAAGTTAGCTCAGTAAGCAGGGTCCTCATGCCTCTTCCACATTTATAGTTGGTTCTCATTGTTCGTGGTAGTTATAGTCTATAAAGTCACTGCAGATGCTGAATTAGCAAATACTGAGCCATTGCTCCTAGAGGAAATACGGGATTCTGTTGGTTCAAGCCTCTGGTCACAACATTTCATCAACTGATAAGTATATACCCTTGTTCTATGTACATTTCTGTTTAAAGACATTTTATTTAATGTACGTGAGTGGTCATTAACATTGAGTTCAGGACCCACAATACTGTGACTCATGACTTGCACAAAGCTTATCCAACACATGTATTTTCTCCATGAGGCACATCATAGCCTTCTTGTGCCTAGAAACAGTAGACAACGCTTAGGCACTACACTTGCGAACCGTTTGAAACAGTGAAATCACAGATCAAAAGCACAAAAATGTGAAAATGTGACACTAAATAGACCACAATAAGGACGCTTGTTTAAAGAGCTGAAATAAGAGGGCAGAGTGTCACCTTGCTTGACCTCAGCTGGGAACGATGCACCTGTCAGGTGACTCAATTTTTCACTGCCGTGTGTCCACTAGTGACCTTGAAAGGGCTGTAAGTATCGAATTTGAGGTTACAAATACATTTTGGTAAGTAGGCAGATTCCAAATATGGAATCTGCAAATTATAAGGATCGGCATTGTATTTATTGAGCACTGACTATATGCCAAGCACTGCGCTAGGCATTCGGCACGTCTTCACTTAGTTAAAAGTCACGTCCACCTTCTGGAGTAGGCATTTCACAGCAGATGAACTCAACCTTTTGGAACTTTCTTCAATCCTTCATGTCAGATCCTCAGCCTTGTTGGTCGGGATAGGTTTGGGCCTGATAACTACCAGGCCAGCTGACTCCCAGAACGATTGGAAAAATTATTGGTTATCTACATCCCGATGTTCTCTAGACAGTCCTGAGGTAGGATCATTTCTTCTAAATTTTTTTATTGTATCAATTTATTAACAAATATTGGTTGTATCAACAACTCAGTAGAGTGATATTGGAGGAAAAAGGAGAGCAAATCCCCTATAAACCCATCACTGCCAAATCCAGTGGTGGTGATTATTATGATGATTATCATGCCCTTTTGGTGTGTCAGTTCTACATACTGGTGGTTGTAATCTTGGCAGATATAGTTCTGTATTTTTATTTTTGCTTGATATTTCATCCTGCTGTTTTTCCATATTGAAACATAGGTCTTCAGAACAATTGCTTTCCCTTGTAGTACATCAGCAAAGTACATCAGATCGACATAACATAATTTAGATAGCCATCCCCTTGTCTCTGGGTAATTTAGATGATTTCTTCCCCCCAAGTAATTTTTACCCTTTCTTTGGACGGGAATAAGCCCTTTGAACTCCAGATGAGAATAGAGGGCTTCCAGATGGAGTATGTGTGAGACAGCTCCATCATCTTGAGGGAGCCTCTGGATTGCACAGTCAAATTTTAATTGTCTCACTTTTAAACTGAGAAACCTGCTCAAAATAGTTTTAGCAAATAAGCAAATCAACAGGTGGGATCTGCCAGGACTTTTGGGGAATGTAAGGTGATCTTAGAAACCAAGGGCAAGAAGTGAAGCTGGGCTGAGCCTCAGAAGAAATTAGAACCAGGGTCTGGCAGGTCACTGGGGTCAGAGGTAACTCTCAGTGCCCTTTCTTGGGCCATGCAGCTTCTTATCTTAGCTTTTCTTGTGTATCTGCTTCATCCTCCTCTCTCTGCATCCAGGCTCCCTTGGCTTTTCCATTCATGGAGGCAAATGGGGTTGTCCAGGCTGGCACCATGAACTCCCCATGTCACCCAGCTGAAGCCCTCCAAGGGACCTGGTCTGGGCATCTCAGTGCCCAATTCCTGGGAGCAAGAATCTGGTTGGCCCAATCACCTGTGGCCAAGGAGGTGGCAGTTGGGCTGGGGTATTTCATTTCATTGATATAAACATGACTTTAGGGGCCTGCCCTGCCTTGGGATGGGGCCGTTTTCAGGGAAGAGGAGGAGAGGTGGAAGATGAGCTGGGCTGATAACCACAAATGGTGTGTCCTTAAGTGGAAAATTTGTGACAAAATAGTTTTGCTCCCATGCTTAGGTTTCCTGCCACAAAGGCCATTTTTAAATAAGCTCTTGGGCACCAATATACTAACCCTGAATTGCATGCCAGTGGGCACCCAGGGACAGTAATCTGGGAAAAACCATCACACAGCACCTTTGACTTGTCATCACCAGTGGTTTTAAATGGTCCTGACACCCCTCACCTTTCTCCCATCTGGTAGCAAGAGGCAGTGAATTGCTGAGTGTCTTTTGCATTCTGACACCAGAGAATTTGCCTGGCTCCTGAATAGTCCGTTGGAGACTTTGTGTCCTCCAATACTGGCCACATTGCCTCTACTTTGGAACCTCCCGTGCCTGGGAGTGTATTAAAAAATAAACCACCTTTGTCTGACCTTGGGCAAGTCACTTAGGCTCATTGAATTTCCATCTCCTCTTTTCTAAAATAAGCACTGCCAGGCTCATAGGTTTGTTGTGAGGGTTATCTGAGATGCTGTTTGAGAAGGCTTCTGCACAGAGCCTGGCACATAATGGTGCCAGTCTGTCCCAGCCTGGCCTTCCTGGGCCCTTCAGTGCAGCATGGTGCCTATAAAGTCTGGGTTGGGTAACCTCTGTCTGCCCCAGGGTAGCAACGGAAAATTGCAGTGCATATTGCTGAATAATAAGCTCTCCCACTTTCCATCTTCCCATTGTATCCCCCTCTGTTGCCATGAGAATGAAAAGTTAATTGCTATGTTCTAAGCCCCTGGGTTTAAATAACGTTAAGTTGTTCTTCATTATCTACCTTGAAGCATCGTAGGGAGAAATAAATGAAATACATGGAAAAGGCTTAAAACAGTGCCTGGCACCTAAGTGTTTAATGAATGTTCTCTGTTATTGTTGAGTGTGGCTGGAACGTGTCCTCCCCTCCAGTGACAGACTGGCCTGAGCCCAGCCATGCTTCTTGGGAGAAGAATCCTAAAATGATCTCTTGGCATATCTGAATGACTTTCTATTTCGTGGTCATAGAGCCCAGACTCAGAAAAGGCTACGAAAAAACTGGATTAGAGCACATCTCAATTCAGATGCCACATTTCCATAGGAAATACTTGATCTCTATTCAGATTTCATAAAATTTATAGTGGAACAAAACAGACTCACCTATCCAACCTATCTGAAACACACTTAAAAATTTTCCAGTGACTGAGTCACATATCGGCTTTAAAACTTAAATTAAATTCAGGTGGAAATCCAGGCCGTCAGTCACAGGAGCAGCATTTCCGATGCTGAATGGCCACAGGTGGCTGCTGTGCTGGACAGCCCAAGTGTGAGCCTGGTGTCCCCGTCTCCCAGCCCCATTGGCTCCTCCCACTGCGCAGACCTCCCCTCGCTGGCACGACAGACTCACTGCGCACTGCCACCCCCCTGCCTGGACAGCCCATCTGCTCTTCCCCACCGTGGGTCCTGGGCCCCTTGGATTGTAAAGATCAGAGAGAACAGTTCGGTCTGTCAGGTGATGCGGGGGCCATCCACTAAGAATGTGTGTGGATTAGAACTGGAAAGCGCTCGCCACTCTGTGTGTTGACTCCCACCATGCCTCCGCCTCTCTCTTCCCTTCAGCTGCCTCAGGAGGATCGCATTGGGCTCTGATAACAGAGTGTCTGAGCTGGGCAGCCCCGGCTTATAAGTGATTCCTAGTACAGTCACCTCTGGCTGGAGAAGCTGAATAGCAAGGTCTTTGGTGGCTTTTGTCAGAATGAGGTGGCAGGAGGCGGGGTGGCTAGTGGACATTAATGCCATTCCGTAGCTTGGCAAGAAGTGCAATTTGCTATGCCTTGCGAGTTCTCTTTAGGAGGCGACGCCGAAGCCCCAAGACAGATGGCTGTGGCTTCTTAGAACGGCCTTTTCTATGTAAGTGGGGTGAGCCTTACACTTTGGTTGCCGTCAGCATGAACTACAAAACCCTCCTGCCTTCCAACTTGCCCTGAAATTACCACCATTTGAGTCACTTGGGTGAACTACTGTTTCTAGGAGACACATGTATTTTGAGGACTTGAATTATGTCTTCATTTCAGCTGCTGGTCTGCAAGACCCTAAGGAATGAGACGCAGGAAGGACTAATTATGATGGAGGAAGGTTCTGGAATGATGGAACTTTTCAAGAGAGCAGGGCCTAGAATGCCAGTACTAAGGAGAGAAAAGGCCTGGGGCCTAAGAAGGAGAGAGAAGGAGAGGGGGAAGCCCATTTTTGTGGGGTTGACTCAGGCCAGCTCTGCCATGGAGTCAGATCCAAAATTCCTTTTGACTAGTGAAGGAAGGTGATGTATTTATTAACTCAGCATAAGCTTGCAGTAGTTATCAGGCTGTGGCCAACTATGGTAGCCAGGTTGATGACATGAAAGCATTTTTACCTCATGAAGTGGCAGCCATTGCAAGCGTACGACATTTTGAGTCAAAGACTCAGCTTTGAATGCCTAGAATTTGCCACTTGGAAGGTGTGCCTCTAGGCAATCATTCAGTGCATTGCTTCTCAAACTTGAACGCGCGTGTACAACACACCTGGGATCTTTTTGAAAAAGCAGAATCTGATTCCGCAAGACTAGGGCGGGGCCTGAGATCCTGCATTTTTAACAAGATCCTAGGTTATGCCAAGTAGCCAGGACTTAACCTCTTTGTGCCTCAGTGGCTTCAGCTATGGGAACCTCAGCTGCAAAGCAGGAGGCAAACTGTACATGTGTTATATCAACGCACACGTGCTGGAGAGGTCTTCTGAAAGGGCGTGTGTTTAGCAGGAGAGCCATGCCTGGGTCTTTCCTCCTTTCACAAGACTCGACCTTGGGTAGGGCCCTCAAACTCGCCACCTGTCCACAGCTGCCTCGAGTTCTTGCCTGGGTGACTCATGTCTTGGGAGAAGTCTTGTTGCAGTGACTTTTTACGTAAGAGTCTTCAACTTTATGACCTCTAGTTATACTTCCCACAGTTTGGGCACATCCATTCAACCTGGGATTCAGACATGGCACTTAATCCTGGCTCTTTGTCCTTTGCCCACAGGTGATTGCCTTTCTGAAGTCTCCAGTGGGCCAGTACTTGGACAGGCATCCTTTTCTGGCCCTCACCTTGCTGGTGTTCGTTGCCGTGTCGGCCGTTCCTGTTGGGTTCTTCCTGCTCCTCGTGGTGCTTACCTTCCTGGTGGCTCTTGTGGGGGTCCTGTTACTGGAAGGTAGCCTGCTCACTTATTCGCCCCCTTGGAAAATGACTCCGTCGGGAGAACAATATCTTTGGGCATCTGCCATTGTTGTCAGAGTTTCCTGTTCTTCTCAAAATCACATCAAACAAGGCAGCTTGTTAGAATAGTTAAAACAAGGACTCTGGAGTCTGCGTTAGAATTCCACGTCCACCACTGTGATTTTGAACAAATTATTTTCCCTCTTTGAGGCTCAGATTTTTCATATGTAAAATGGAGATATAAGAGCACTATCTCGAAGGGTTGTGGGGATTGAAACTTATGCTTCTGTAGAGTCCTTAGTGCAGTACCTGGCACAGAGTAGCCTCTCAACGAAAGCTAACTAGCATTATTATTAGAGAGACCATTCATTCCACAGCGAGTTACTGAGCACTATTGCATAACAGGTGCCTTGCTAGGTGCTGGAACCCACCTTCTCTACCTTTTTTCCTGACGTCCCACCACCAACTGTCAACTTCTCCCTGTGTTACTAAGTTAAAATTACTGGGAAAGCAAATCTGATTGGCCCAGTTTGCCTTTTCAAATCAGATCACACCCCACAGGATAGTGGCGAAAGAGATGGTTTCCAGTGGGTTGGGTGATCACTTCTGGTCCATTCCTTAGATTCCCAGAGCTAAGAGCACCGGGCTTGTTTCCCTGCCCAGGGGACTGGACAGTTTACACTTGAAGAAGAAAATGGGTGTAGTAAGTAGATGAACTAAATACAGCCTGGCAGAGCATTTGCTCAGTAAATATGGATGGATAGATGGGCAAGTGAATGAATATAGGTAGAGGAATGATGAATGAGTACCATAACAAAAGACATTTGGAGAGAAAGAAGGGAGCAGCAGACAGGACTTTAAAGATGTATAACAACTTTGTTTTGGGGTAGACAGGGAAGGGCTTTTGGACAGGGGAACAGCATGTGCAAAGCCTTTAGAGCAGTGGTTCTTGAACTTGAGTATGTATAAATCTTCCTTTTTGAAAATGCAGACTTTCAGGCCTCATCCATTGAGTGTTATTTTAGTAGGTCTGGAGTGGGTTTAGAAATCTGAATTTTTAACAAGCTTCCCGGATGCATCTGATTCTGATGCAAGGTGGTCGAAGGAAGGCCACACTTTGAAAAACACTGACCTAGGATTTTGTAAATGCGTATGAAAAGGCAGCACATCCATGTGTGTTCTTTGCCTTCCTGCTTTTTCAGGGTCCATCCCTGAAACCGTCACTGTGGCTGTAGGGATGGAGGCCTGGGCTATTTGACCACTCCCGAAGCAGGTGGAAGGATGCTTGCTATACAACCTGTGCCATGTCACTCGTTCCTCATGTTCTTTCCCTTGTACCTTTTGTTCTTTTTCTCCCACAGACCCCATGTTATGAAAAATAGATTTTCCTTGTGTTTATTATATGATAATTTATTAATATTTCCATTTAAAAGTATCCAATTGTAGATCAAAATGACTAATGAGATCTTGTGATTAAAGTGTAATAGTTGTCAGGCTGGGTTGTGAAGGATATCATCAAAAGCTATATTTAGATTTTACTTTCTTTAACCTGCATAGCCTTTATACCTGTAGCTTGAGATACTCCTGCCTTGGCTGACTCCTCCTGGGGGATTGCACTGGGAGTCCATCTCTGACCTTGAGGATGAGGGGCTCTCAAACTCAAATGCCTAGAGGCAAGACAAAATGAGCAAAGTGGCACAAGTGTAATGCAATTTGAGAATGTTGGGGACAGAAGGGGGATGGGAAGGCCAGCTGCTTGTTACCATGCCGTGATGCCCACTCAGGTGGCCAGATCACCTCCTTTTTTTAAGCGATGCCAGAAATCTAGATTTTTTTTTAATGGGAAATCTCCTCACTTTAAAAAATATGAGTGACCTGTCATTGTTTTAAACACACTTTCAACCTCTTTTAGACGAATGCTTCTCCTAACCATGTTCTCCTCCTAGGCCTGGTCATCTCTGTGGGTGGCCTCTCACTGCTCTGCGTCCTCTGTGGCTTGGGCTTCGTGTCAGTCACCGTGTCAGGGATCCTCATGGTGTCCTACATGGTGGTCTCCAGCCTTATCAACTACTGGTTTTCTCCCAGGTAAATACATGTCAGTGGAATAATTTAATCTTTGCCATTTAGAGGGATTTTCGCAAATGAAACCCTAACCCCAGTGTATGTCCGGAAGCAAAATCATAAGAGATGGGTGTTTCTCATAGCTCCTCATTTACATCAGATGTAAAATGTGAATTTGCAATGGAGTTTCAAACAAAAGCTACGGCTTCCATCTTCCATGATGCACATAACTTACCTCATTGTCACAGCAGCTCTATGAGGTAGTTATTATTGATTCCTTTAAAAAGATGCCCATTTAATTTACAAAAGTCAAATTAAGGTGTTTTTTGAGGGGTGAGGTGGGGAGGAAAGGAGAGCAATGGAAGAAGAATGACCTGCCATTCTATTTATCGTGCCTCCCCAGAGTGGTATGGGAGCTGTGAATCTTCTGTCCCCAAAGCCTGCCTTGGTCCCCTCTGCTCTTCAGAGTGTGAGTTTCTCACCAGCTGAGTGTGGGTCTTGTGTTTGAATACATAGATTTTGTTCCTACAATATGGCTCCTAAATGCCAGCTGCTTCATTTGGGGCCTCGACTGCAGGAACAGTGATCTTTTTAAATGTTGGAGGGAAAGCCAGCTGTGTTGACATTACTGGGAGACAGTGTGTGTGTCTATAATGTACCATCCTCCTAAGGGATTTTCAAAGGTGTGTTGTTTTTTTTTTTATGCTTGATTTTTGTCCTATGTGTTGATTTTGGAATCTAAGTCCCAAGTCCATTGTACTTCATTTAAGCACTTGCTAAAGTGATGGTTGTGGCTATTGAGCACTTGCTCTGTGCCAAGGCCTTTGTAAATACTCTGCAGGCCTTGTCTCATGTAAGCTTCACAACTAGCCCCATTCTGTGATAAGGAAAATGAAGCCAAGTCCCCAAACTGAGAGTAGCACAGAAAGGACTTAAATCCAGGTCAGTTATTTCCAAAGCCCTCCCAACCAAGATACGGAGTGACCCTCTAAAATAGGGGTCAGCAAACAATTTCTGGAAAGGGCCAGATAGTAAATATTTTACGCTTTGCCAGGCCATACGGTCCCTGCTGCAACTAATCAACTCTGCCCCTGTAGCACGAAAGCAGTATAGGCAGTAAGCAAATGAATGGGGATGGCTGTGTTCCAGTAAAATTAATTTACAAGAACAGGCAGCTGTCTAGATTTGGCCCCAGGACCATCCATGGTTTGCCAACGCTTGCTCTAGAAGAACCTATGTCCTGACTTTTGTTTTTCTGCAAAATAACCCTTGAAATTCTTACCAAAATGTTACCCTGTTGTTAAATATTTATATGTTGAACAGTAAAGGGTGAAGTGGCTATAATTTAAAATTGCTCTCACAGAGTGGTTCTCGCAGGACTGCGTAATTGGTATCCCTGCAGTCACAAGCAGCTTTTCATGAATTGTTTTGATCACTCTCAGTCTTAAAGGAGATAAAAAGAGAAATAATGGCCCATGTGGCTTATTCAAGGTGATGCTTTCCAGCCAAAATCCCTCCCTGCCTCTGAACCCTGCCGTAATAGGATTAAATTCTTAAAAATCATACATAGGAAGTAGCAAAATCTGAGTGCCTATTTCTCAATGAAGAGATTGAAAAAGATACCCAGGATTTGTTCTTAATCTCCTTTTCCTCCCTAGTCCTCCCACCCAATTGTTTTCACCTGGGCAGAGATTATCAAGCTTTTTGTTCTCAGGATTCATGTTGCCTGCTTAAGAATTATCAAGGTGTCCAAAGAGTTTTTGTTTATGTGGGTTGAATGTATTGTTAATTACTCTATTAGAAATTATAACAGAAAATGTAAACAAATATTTATTCATTTAACAGGAACAATATTACCTGTTGATATAAACACATATTGGCTATTTGACCACTCCCGAAGCAGGTGGAAGGATGCTTGCTATACAACCTGTGCCATGTCACTCGTTCCTCATGTTCTTTCCCTTGTACCTTTTGTTCTTTTTCTCCCACAGACCCCATGTTATGAAAAATAGATTTTCCTTGTGTTTATTATATGATAATTTATTAATATTTCCATTTAAAAGTATCCAATTGTAGATCAAAATGACTAATGAGATCTTGTGATTAAAGTGTAATAGTTGTCAGGCTGGGTTGTGAAGGATATCATCAAAAACTATATTTAGATTTTACTTTCTTTAACCTGCATAGCCTTTATACCTGTAGCTTGAGATACTCCTGCCTTGGCTGACTCCTCCTGGGGGATTGCATTGGGAGTCCATCTCTGACCTTGAGGATGAGGGGCTCTCAAACTCAAATGCCTAGAGGCAAGACAAAATGAGCAAAGTGGCACAAGTGTAATGCAATTTGAGAATGTTGGGGACAGAAGGGGGATGGGAAGGCCAGCTGCTTGTTACCATGCCGTGATGCCCACTCAGGTGGCCAGATCACCTCCTTTTTTTAAGCGATGCCAGAAATCTAGATTTTTTTTTTAATGGGAAATCTCCTCACTTTAAAAAATATGAGTGACCTGTCATTGTTTTAAACACACTTTCAACCTCTTTTAGACGAATGCTTCTCCTAACCATGTTCTCCTCCTAGGCCTGGTCATCTCTGTGGGTGGCCTGTCACTGCTCTGCGTCCTCTGTGGCTTGGGCTTCGTGTCAGTCACCGTGTCAGGGATCCTCATGGTGTCCTACATGGTGGTCTCCAGCCTTATCAACTACTGGTTTTCTCCCAGGTAAATACATGTCAGTGGAATAATTTAATCTTTGCCATTTAGAGGGATTTTCGCAAATGAAACCCTAACCCCAGTGTATGTCCGGAAGCAAAATCATAAGAGATGGGTGTTTCTCATAGCTCCTCATTTACATCAGATGTAAAATGTGAATTTGCAATGGAGTTTCAAACAAAAGCTACGGCTTCCATCTTCCATGATGCACATAACTTACCTCATTGTCACAGCAGCTCTATGAGGTAGTTATTATTGATTCCTTTAAAAAGATGCCCATTTAATTTACAAAAGTCAAATTAAGGTGTTTTTTGAGGGGTGAGGTGGGGAGGAAAGGAGAGCAATGGAAGAAGAATGACCTGCCATTCTATTTATCGTGCCTCCCCAGAGTGGTATGGGAGCTGTGAATCTTCTGTCCCCAAAGCCTGCCTTGGTCCCCTCTGCTCTTCAGAGTGTGAGTTTCTCACCAGCTGAGTGTGGGTCTTGTGTTTGAATACATAGATTTTGTTCCTACAATATGGCTCCTAAATGCCAGCTGCTTCATTTGGGGCCTCGACTGCAGGAACAGTGATCTTTTTAAATGCTGAAGGGAAAGCCAGCTGTGTTGACATTACTGGGAGACAGTGTGTGTGTCTATAATGTACCATCCTCCTAAGGGATTTTCAAAGGTGTGTTTTTTTTTTTTTTATGCTTGATTTTTGTCCTATGTGTTGATTTTGGAATCTAAGTCCCAAGTCCATTGTACTTCATTTAAGCACTTGCTAAAGTGATGGTTGTGGCTATTGAGCACTTGCTCTGTGCCAAGGCCTCTGTAAATACTCTGCAGGCCTTGTCTCATGTAAGCTTCACAACTAGCCCCATTCTGTGATAAGGAAAATGAAGCCAAGTCCCCAAACTGAGAGTAGCACAGAAAGGACTTAAATCCAGGTCAGTTATTTCCAAAGCCCTCCCAACCAAGATACGGAGTGACCCTCTAAAATAGGGGTCAGCAAACAATTTCTGGAAAGGGCCAGATAGTAAATATTTTACGCTTTGCCAGGCCATACGGTCCCTGCTGCAACTAATCAACTCTGCCCCTGTAGCACGAAAGCAGTATAGGCAGTAAGCAAATGAATGGGGATGGCTGTGTTCCAGTAAAATTAATTTACAAGAACAGGCAGCTGTCTAGATTTGGCCCCAGGACCATCCATGGTTTGCCAACGCTTGCTCTAGAAGAACCTATGTCCTGACTTTTGTTTTTCTGCAAAATAACCCTTGAAATTCTTACCAAAATGTTACCCTGTTGTTAAATATTTATATGTTGAACAGTAAAGGGTGAAGTGGCTATAATTTAAAATTGCTCTCACAGAGTGGTTCTCGCAGGACTGCGTAATTGGTATCCCTGCAGTCACAAGCAGCTTTTCATGAATTGTTTTGATCACTCTCAGTCTTAAAGGAGATAAAAAGAGAAATAATGGCCCATGTGGCTTATTCAAGGTGATGCTTTCCAGCCAAAATCCCTCCCTGCCTCTGAACCCTGCCGTAATAGGATTAAATTCTTAAAAATCATACATAGGAAGTAGCAAAATCTGAGTGCCTATTTCTCAATGAAGAGATTGAAAAAGATACCCAGGATTTGTTCTTAATCTCCTTTTCCTCCCTAGTCCTCCCACCCAATTGTTTTCACCTGGGCAGAGATTATCAAGCTTTTTGTTCTCAGGATTCATGTTGCCTGCTTAAGAATTATCAAGGTGTCCAAAGAGTTTTTGTTTATGTGGGTTGAATGTATTGTTAATTACTCTATTAGAAATTATAACAGAAAATGTAAACAAATATTTATTCATTTAACAGGAACAATATTACCTGTTGATATAAACACATATTTAAATAGATAAATATATAAAATAATACAAATACTTTAATGAAAAGTAAATATATTTTCCAAAACCGAATGAAATTCACAAATGGCATTGTTTATGTCTTATAAATCTCTTTAGTGTCTGCCATCATAGAAGTCAACTGGATTCTTACTTGCGTGTCTGTGTTCGTCCTGTTGTGATATGTTGTTCTGATTGAAGTATATGAAGAAGACCCAGCCTCACAAATGTGCAGTTGGGGCTGGATGCAGTGGCTCACGCCTGTAATCCTAGCACTCTCGAAGGCAGAGGTGGGAGGATCGCTTGAGCTCAGGAGTTTGAGACCAGCCTGAGCAAGAGCGAGACCCCGTCTCTACTAAAAGTAGAAAAATTAGCTGGGCGTGGTGGTGTGTACTGATAGTTTCAGCCACTTGGGAGGCTGAGGCAGGAGGATCACTTCAACCCAGGAGTTTGACGTTGCTGTGAGCTATGATGACGCCACTGCACTCTACCCGGGGCAAGAGTGAGACTCTGTCTCCAAAAAGAAAAAAACAAAAACAAAACAAAAAAACAAAATGTGCAGTTGGGAAAGGGAGGAAAAGCTTTTTCAAATGATCGTGGATATTCTTCTATGATAGTACACAAAAACTCCATTAAGCGGCAGTTTCTTAAATGATAGTTGAAATTTTTGTCCTCTATCATATTAAAATCTGCTGGTCTGTCTTGCACTTTTAAATGTATCTTTATGATGCATGATTTTGTAACTTCATGCATTGGTCATTTGGAGAATATTGGTTTATTGAGTCATGCAGATCTTCCAAATATACTGTGAAAAACTGCACTGTTCCCTTGTGAGAGAAGGTGAATGAAAAAGACGTATAATGTATTAGGTTATTATGAACATAATTGTCATCTGAGACCCCCTGCATCAGTGAATTCTTTAAAACTGAAGGAAAAGATAACTCCCTCCTTACTTGATCCAAAGCATGGGGTTTGGGGGGGAGAGGAAATATCCGATTTATCTCATGATTTAATGGGATTTTGATCCTAAAACATAAAAGATAACACAGCTAAAATGTTTTTAAAAGAAAAGAAAAAAGATGTCCCTACTTATGCAAATCAGTGAAACAGTCTTTTGATGGAATACATTGCACCTGCCTCCTATGTAGATAAACTAGCCTCTGAGGAGGAAGGACCATGCTGCTTTGTTATATAGGGACAGCAAGAGCTCCTAGGGCCTGCAGCTGGGGAGAAGTGGGGAGCCAGGGCAGCCTGTTTATATTTGTGGAGCCCCCCAAGTTACCCCACAGCACACTCAGTCTCCCAAAGCAGCCAGAGCATGCCTAGCCTCCTCACAGCTTAAGAAAAGGAAAAGTTTCTTTCTTGGTTTGTCGTTATCAGGTAGGAATGCTTTAGGTGGCAAATGATGGAAAAAACCAAAGCAGATCCCAGCTGAAACAAACAGGGATTTATTTATATCGCTTAACAAAAAGCTGGAGACAGCCCAGGGCTGGTGCAGCTGCTCTGTGGTATCAGCAACATACCAGGCAGCTTCTACCTTTCTGCATTGTCCATTGGTTTGCTGCCTCATGGCCACAAGATAGCTGCCGCAGTTCTGGGAACACGAGCTACATGCAAGGCAGGATGAAAGAAAAAGATGAGTGTTCACCAAGTAAGTCTGACCCTTTTTATCAAGGAAGTGAAAATCTCTCTCAGGACCTCTCCCTGTTCTCCCCTGGCAGACGTCATTGGCTACAACTTTGTTGGGTGGCCACTCTAAGCTGGGAGTGTTCAGCTTTCTCATCTTCTGTAGCGTAAACTCCCAAGGAGAAGGGCGTTGGGGATGTGTGCTGGTCAGCCAAACTCCGGTGTATGCTCTGGTTTTCCATAGTGGGGTGTCAGGGCTACTTGAAATTCAAAGATAATCCATAGATCCAATTAAGTTAATATTAGTAGCACCACCCCCACCCCTCTGAAACCTACAGTCAGAAGGACCGCAAAAGACAAACCATTTCTCTTCCTTTCCCCCCTCACTCCTTTCCATTGAAGGTGTCAAAAAAACTAATTGGAATCAGAAGATATAGGTGTGAATCCCAGCTCTGCCATTTTTTAGCTGTGTGATCTTGAACAGGCTGCTTAACTTCTCTGATCTCAGTTTGTTTCCACTGGTAAAACAGAGCTGCTCCTTGCTCTGCCTTTCTCACTGAATTGTTGTGCAGACATAGGCAGTTGGGGAAAACACAATATCCAAATTAGAAGAGGGGAAAGTGGTCATAACTCAACCCATAACCTAGTCATTTTAACCTCCTGTGCCCTAAGTTTCTGCTGCTGTAAAATGGATACAGCTCCAAGTCTGGTGTGGTTGATTGCAAGAAGCAGCTAAAAATAATCTAGCAGAGACTGTCACATATTCAGCTATGCACACTCTCCATGTTGCTCTTTAAAAGAGGCCCTAGAACTAACCGTTTTTTCTTGTTACCAAACAGACCACTGATGCAGCAAAACCCCAGTGGTGAATGTCAGCTGGCTATGAAGTCCACAGACTTTGAGGGGCTCTACCAGGAATGACCAGCTGAACATCTTTTCAAGCATCGCTGGAAAGCTGTTGAATCATACTTGCCCCTTGGCATTATGACTCAGAGAAGGGGGTTGGGTAGCCAAGCACTCCCTGGATGTTTCCACTAGCTTTTTCACTGTTTATAGGATCCTGCAGTAGCCCATTTGGGGATCATGTTGGTCTTGTGTTGGTTCTGTCAGCTGACCCACCCTCATGGGGCGAATCAGCAAAGAAATGCATTGGCTCAGCAGCTGGCCCTGCCTCACATACCCACTCCCCAGGTGTGGCGACGTGACCTTGGCAGGGTCCTGGGCCTCTAGAGCTCTGCCCCGTGACCCAAAGGCCCAGCTGGGTGCAAAAGTGTATTGTTTTTAGTGTTTTGTTTTTAGAAATGAGGAAAGATGTTTATTTTTTCACTTATTTGAAACAAGTGAAAAAATCTAAAACAGAATAAGCTCTTCTGTCTTACTGGCTTTTTAACAGAAAGAACAGTGGCATTTGGGAATAATGGCCTCTCAAAGTTGGAAAATAGAGTCTAAGTGTAACTTTGTGGCCAAGAGTCTTTTGGAAAAAACGTAGAGGTATAGTTTCCACTGTTACTGTTGAGTACGGTTTAGTGCTTTTAATATTTGCACCTGATACTTTTGTATTGTTTTAAAGAATTTGTCCTGTTAAGCTATTTCTTAAAAAAAAACAAAACAGTAAAGGACTACAGAGTAAAAACAAAACATCCTATGGGATTTCCCAGTGGAATTCTTCAGTGGTTTATTTGCGGTGGCATTTTATTAAATATTTGGGTGGGCTTTTTTCCTTTATTCTTTCTCCCCACCCCCCCGCTTCCCTCCCCTCCCCTAATACATCAGACCTGCTTATTTTTTCTCTGTCAGTTTCATGACAGACCCTGAGTAATATGACTTTTTTAGTTGCTAGTGATAGATATTCAATTCAAAGTTGCTTTAAAAAAAGGGTCATGGTGGTGGTGATAGGAGGGATTATTTTAACTCAACCAAAAAGCCAAGGGGTGGGTAGATCTTCAGGTACTACTAGATCCAGGGGCTCAGGTGGTGTTATTAGGCATCTCTTAGTTTGTTTTTTTTTTTTTTTGTTGGTGTGAGCTGCTTTATCAGGCAGGCCTGCCCCACGTGGGGATCCCAGCAGCCCTAGTTAGCACTCTGAACTAGCCAAGAAAGCTGCTCTTTCCAACGATACATATGGGTATTCTGGGGTTAGCTCTGATTGGACAGATTTGGGTCATGTGAGAAACCCTGAACCAATCACAGTGGCCAGAAGGATGGAATATGCTGACCAGGCAGGGCTGGGACATGTGTCCATTCAGGACCCCCGGAGGGGAGAGGTCAGCCCGTTGGATTCCACCTGATGGGGGATGCTGGGGTGCAGAGAGATGGGAGCAGCCTCCCAAAGGAGTGTCAGAAGAAAATGAAATGTTTGCTGGACAATAACAAATGCTGCTACTTGCCACAGTGGGGCTCAAAGGCCTTAGTTTGGTACTGAAACTCTTCTGCATCCCATGACATTCACCATACTGACACTAAGGGTGGATTCATCTCCATTATAGAACAAGAACTGCCTAGTCCTACCAATACCATGGGGGTATTAATATTAAGAATTACTGTTTATTGAATGTATCTTTCCTTCATGCAAGTGTCCGATATTATCTATGTATGCTATCTCCCAGCTATCTACCCAGCTGGGTTCTGCAGCTTCGATAATGAAGAGTAGGTAAGTCCCTGGTCTCCCTCCTGAAGTTTTCTTTTTAATACAGGAGTCACTTAAGAGTATTATTAATAGTTATCTGTTGCTGTGTAACAATTTGCCACCAACTATCAGCTTAAAAGAGCAAGCATTTATTGTCTCACATTTTCTGCATGTTAGGGGTCCAGGCACGGCTTGACTGAATCCTTTGCAAGACTGTGATCACAGCGTTGCTAGAGCTGGGTTCTCATTTAAGGTTTAACTGGGGAAGGACCGAGATTCCACTCACGTGGTCATTGGTGGCTTCCAGCTGGCTGCAGGACTGAAGCACTCAGGTCCGTACTACATGTCCCTCTCCCTGTGGCAGTTCGTAATGTGGCAGTTGCTTCTTCAAAACCACCAAGGGAGAGAGCCTCTTAGCAAGATGGACATTACATTCTTAGGCAACATAATCATGTATGCGTAATCACATACATCCTGCCACTTTTTCTGTATTCTGTTGGAAGCAAGTCGACAGGAACCACTCACACTCACAAGGAGGGGATCACACAGGGTATGCAAACCACAGATGAGCATCATGGGCTCCACCTTACTGCCTACTCACTACAAAAAGTAAGCAAAATATTGCACTGTGATAAGGTCATTGAAGAAAAGTAAAAGGGTGATAGATAACTGGGAGAGGCCACTTTAGCCACAGTGATCAGGGATTTCTTTTCTTTGACTAAAGAATGAGAAGTTGCTGCCAGACCAAGTGCTGTGGAAGGGGTGTTCTTGGCAGAGGGCACAGCAGTGCAAAGACCCGGAAACTGAAAGGAGTTTAATGTGTTTAAGGAAAAGAAATGATGTCAGTGTGGCTGGGCCTGGTGAGCAAAAGGTAAATGGAAGAGAGAGAGGAGCTCATTGTGCAAGACCCCATAGGTAAGAAGTTTACACGAAGAGCAAAGGGAAGACGATGAAGAATCTCACATGGAAGAGTGACGTGATCAGACTCAGGTTCCTGAAGATGACAGCCGATGCATTGGGAGTAGGAAGGCCAGGTAGGAGGTCTACAGAGGCCCGGAGCAGAGGCTGGTTGTGGCTTAAAACTTATACTATGGTGGAGGTAACAAAGGCCTTTCTCATTTGGAGAGCCAGCAGCATTTGGTGATGTTGGAGAAGGAAAGGGGACACAAAGTTGGCCCCTAGATTTTTAGCTTGAGCCAGTGGGTGGATGGTGACACTATTATAGGGGCAAAGAAGGCCAAGCTTCCCCTCCACCCTCTGAAGGTTCACTAAAATGAACTGACAGCAGACTATAGATAAACAGGAGAAAAGGCATACAAATTTATTAACATGCACTTGGACATGGGAGCCCTACAGATCTGAGACTCAAAGGAAGGCCTGATGGTTGAAACTTATATTTGGGAGGAGGGGGAATTGTAGACAATTTTTAGGGATTGTAAGTGATTTTCAGAGGAATTGAATGGGCCCAAAGAGCAGACTATAGTTTGTAAGTGATTTTCTTTGGAAACTGAATGGGACAAGTCACTGAAAGGCGAGGGGCGAAACTGCACTTTGAACAAAGGTTGCCTATTATGCAGATAAAGTCTATGGGTCTTGCAGCTGCCCTCAAAAGAATAGATAAAAAGGTCTGTCTGGGCATGGTAACAACTTTTAGTCTCTTCTCCAGTGGTTACACTTTCCTGGTTATTTGATGAGATTCCTAGGGAGGGGGGGTCTTCAGACAATTGCATCTTTTAGAAGGAGTTTTCCTCAGTCAGACAAGGCAACTTCCAGAGAGAGCCCCTCCCTGGAAGAAACAAGAGGTTAAAAAGTCCTTGATTCTGAGGCCTCTTCTAGGGCCTTCCAATTTCCTTTAATTCACAAATGCTCAGTGTGCCAAAACACCACACTGCTTCTCTATGCCTAAGCACTAGTTTCTGAGATGGGGGCTATGTGAGAATTCCAAATCATAATGGCCTTTTTGACACCAAGAGGATGTGTCAAGTAGACAGTTGGCTCAGAGAGCAGGACCAGGCTGGCGATACAGCTCTGGGAGTATTTTCTGCACTGAGGGCTTTACACAGCCCTTTGTGGGACGCTCTCCACAGAGTAGCCAAGAGATTGTTTCAAAACATTTTTTGGATCCCATAAACACCCTTGCTTCAAACTCTGCCAAGTACAAAGTGCTTTCCCATGGCACTTAGAAATGCTAACTCTTTCCTCTCATGGATCAATCCATGATCAAAGACCAATCATAAACTGCTGCCTGCCTGCTTTTCGTTTTTTATATCATCAGCGTCTGGGTTTTAGAGATGAAACCAAGATTCACCCAATTCAGCCAAGAAATGTGGCATCTAAATGAAGGTTTTGCAATGAGGTTATTAATTCAGGCCCTGTTCTTTATGCTGCGTGCGCAAAGGCCAATGAAATGGAGTGAAATAAGGTACAGAATCCCAGCACAGTGCCTGCCACAGAATAAGCCCATAAAGAATAGTTATCAAGGCTGGGCGCGGTGGCTCACGCCTGTAATCCTAGCTCTCTGGGAGGCCGAGGCGGGCGGATTGTTTGAGCTCAGGAGTTCAAGACCAGCCTGAGCAAGAGCGAGACCCCGTCTCTACTAAAAATAGAAAGAAATTAGCTGGACAACTAAAAATATATAGAAAAAATTAGCCGGACATGGTGGCGCATGCTTGTAGTCCCAGCTACTCGGGAGGCTGAGGCAGAAGGATCGCTTGAGCCCAGGAGTTTGAGGTTGCTGTGAGCTAGGATGATGCCACGGCACTCTAGCCTGGGCAACACAGTGAGACTCTGTCTCAAAAAAAAAAAAAAAGAATAGTTATCAAAATGCACGGCTGCACAAATCGTTTAAAACTGAGTGACACAGGAACATGTAAAATGCCTATTGCTAACCAAGCTGTGGAGGACCATTAAGGACTTAAGGCTAGGTTACTAAGAAGGTGTCATTGGCCTTTTAGACACAGCCCAATGTGTGGCTCATTGGAAAGGTAATTAGTCCCCAGAGCATGAACACCGTGACCTTAGAGAATCACAATGTTAATTCACTGGTAAGTCCAGGGTTTTTGTTTGTTTGTTTATTTTTTTGAGCATTTGCCGTGTGTTGGGTGCTGTTGATATTTTAAGCCCTGTACACATCATGTTTCCAGTCAATCTGCACTACTACCCACTTTAGAAATAAGGAAGCTGAAAGATTGAGAAGTTAGATTGCCTAAGGGCACATAGAATTGAAGTGGGATTCAAACCCACTTTGCCTGACTGCAGAAGCCACCCTACTAGCCAACGTGCTGTCAAATGTTAACTTCTTTGCCTTTGAGGCCTTCTGGTATTGGTCCCATTCCCCAACATATGTTGTGGTGACTACCCGTGACCTTTGTTGCTGTTGTGTGGTGTAAACCCAGGGATCACCGGTTGCATAGAATAAAATGCAAATGGTCCGCTCGCCATAAAGTTGTGCCCATAATAGCACCGCCTCAGCCACCATCTCTGTGTGGCTTCTATTGTCTTACTCTGCATAGAACAGTAGGTCCCAGCCCAGAAGTCACAACACCCAGGCGTGGCATGATCAGGTATGAGTTGTCACAAGGTTGAGGATGACTAACAGTACTTTCATTTATATTCTGATATGTTTCCTTGAGTAGGAGAGAAAAGGTGGAGTAGAGAGAGGAGGTGGAATTTGA